CGGGACGACCGTGCCGAGCTTCGAGTAAGCGTCGTGCACCGTCGAAGATGTCGAAGAGCGTCGAAGGCGAAATCGAACTGTTGGGAGACTGAGTCGAAGTGCCGGGCGGGATGCGAGTGCCGAAAAGAGGTGTATCGGGGCCCAGCGGGGCTCGGCGCCTATCACCGCGGAAAGGAAAAAATTAAAAAACGGCTAGACGCCGTACCAAGTCGTGACATTACCCCCCCCTCAACGGTGCATGACCTCATGCGAGGCGCCCTTGCCCATCTCCCACCCGGAGCGACAGCGTGCTTCAGTCAGCGGCGAAGGCATTGGCTGAAAGTTGAGACCACCAAAGGTAGCCGCGTTGAGGCGACGAGGGGCGTTCGGATTCTTCCGATGGAAGTCGGCTATGAGGGTCGGCGCATTCGCAACGTTGCGCGCCGGTTCCCATGACGTATGCGAGTCGTCATAACCTTTCCACTTGATGAGGTACTGTAGTTGACGCCGGAAGATTCTTGAATCCTTGATCCGCTCAACCTCGTACTCCTCGTCGCCCTCGACCTCGATCGCAGGCGGCTCCTCTGGCTCCCGGCCCGGGATGTCGCTACGCGTGTACTTGCTTAGCAGGGAGACATGGAATACCGGGTGCACCGGTACCGACTTCGGCAGGACTAATTCGTAATCCAGGTCTCCGAGCTTTCGCCGCACGGCATATGGCCCGAGGCGCTTGGGACTGAGCTTCTTGCTCGGCTGTTTCAGCTTAAGGTTCCGAGCGTCAAGCCAGACCTTGTCCCCCGGCACGAAGACCGGTGCCTTCTGCACGTGCTTATCGTAGTACACCTTCATGCGCTCGGCCGACAGCTCAAGCGCAGAGCGCGTATCGTCGCGAATCTCCTTCAGGATCTTGAGTCGATCAGGGCCGCGGGCATCGCAGACATCGGATTGATCCGCACTTGGATCTCAGGATTGTACCCCTGGTGCAGGAAGAAAGGGGAGTGCCCGGTCGCAGAATGAACTCGATTGTTTAATGCGAATTCCGCGAGCGGCAACTGTCTAGCCCAATCATCCTGCCTGTGGCTTGTGAAAGCTCACAGGTACTGCTCAATCTCCTGATTCCAGTGCTCGGTCTGGCTGTCTGTCTGAGGGTGGAACGCCGTGGACAGCGCCGGCTCGATTCCCAGTCCCTTGTACACCACATGGAGATACTTTGAAGCGAACTGGGGACCTCAGTCTGATATGACCTTGGCCGGGGCCCCATGATGCTTGAACACATCGCGGATGTACAGGTCTGCCGCACCTTCTGCCGTCAGGGTCTCATGACAGGCCGAGAAGTGGACCTGCTTAGTGAAGCGGTCGGCAGTAACCAGGATCGAGTTGAATCCATCAGACTTCGGCAAACCGACAATCATATTGGTTGTGATGATCTGCCACGGGCGCTCAGGGATCTCGTTCGGCTTCAGCGGACCCTGGGGCTTGGCGGGGAATGTCTTGGTACGATTGCACACATCGCAGGTGCTTACGTACTCATTGATGAATTTAGACATCCCAGGCCACCAGTAGTTCCGTGATACGAGCTCCAGGGTTTTGGCACGACCGCCATGACCAGCGATCGGCGAGTCGTGGTGGATCTTTACTATATCCCGCCGGAGCTCCGCGTTCTTTGGGACGTACACGCACCCGCGGAACAGCAGAAGCCCTTGTTCGGCATTCCACTCCTCAAAGCCCCTTTGCAGCCGGGGCGGCCCGAGGTCCTGTACCTTTTCAAGTGCCTTGGCCACCTCTCGATCCTTCTCTGAACACTCCCTGATGTGCTTCAGAAGCGACTGATCGGCTGTCACTGAGGCATGACCACGCCTGGCGGAAGCGATGCGGAACCTTTCCGGTCTGAGAACCACCTGATCAGTGTTATCGTCCTCATCGCCGACCTGGTGATCTGATCAACGCGATAGGGCATCAGCCTTTCCATTTGACGTTCCAGCTTTGTGCGTGATGCGGAAGTCGAAGCGAGCCAAGAACAGCGACCATCACGCTTGACAACGCGTGAGGTGCTGTGATGTGCACCAGTACTCGAGGTTCTTGTGATCGGTTACAATCTCGAACTGTGTGGGTAACCCCTCGAGATAGTGGCGCCATTCTTCCAAGGCTTCGATAATCGCAAGCATCTCCTTGTTGTAGATCTCATAGTTACGCTGAGCCGAGTCCATGGCATGGGATCGGAAGGTGACGGGATGCCATTTGCCGTCATCCTGCTTCTGCATCAGCACACCGCCAGTGGCATATCCTGAGGCATCAACTTCGATGCGCGTTTCCCAATGGGGATCGTACAGCGCCAGCACAGGGGTTGTGCCGAAGAGCCGTTTGAGCTCATCAAATGCACGCTGCTCTTCTTCACCCCAGTGCCAGGGGTCGTTCCCTGTGAGCCGGTCGAGTGGTCGCGAGATCTTAGCGAAGTCTTTGATGAAGCGGCGGTAGAAATTGGCAAACCCCCGGAACTTCTGAACATTTTTTTTGTTCCAGGGTACCGGCCAGTCATTGATTCCTTTCAGCTTCGCAGGATCCATCGCCACCTCATCGTCACCGAACACATAGCCGACGTAGTCGACCTTGGGAACGTCCCACTTGCATTTCTCAGGCTTCAAGAATAAGTCGTTCTCCTGAAGGCGGTGCAGAACCTCGCGTGTGACCTTCTCATGTTCTTCTTTGTTGGTAGAGAAGATCAGAATGTCGTCTAGATACACAAGGACCCTGCCGCCGATGATAAGATCGTGGAAAATCTCATTCATCATGGCCTGGAAGGTCGCGGGGGAATTGGTGAGGCCGAAGAACATCACCAGGGGTTCGTACAGCCCCCGATTGGTCACAAAGGCAGCCTTCCATTCGTCACCGGCTTTGATCCGGACATTGTTATATCCCCATCTGACATCGAACTTTGTGAAGAGCGTCGCGCCGCGTAGCTTGTCAACCATTTCGGCGATCAGCGGGAGCGGGTAGCGATTCTTGACGGTTATCGTGTTGAGTCGGCGATAGTCCTGTACGGGTCGAAGGGTCCCTTCCTTCTTTTTGATGAAGAAGAAGGGGGACGAAATGGGCGACTTCGATTCCCGTATGTAACCCTTCGCTAGCTGCTCCTTTAGGAACTTGTCCAGCTCCTCCTGCTCATTGTTCGACAAAGGATATACCTTTGAGTGGAACGTCGAGTAGCCGGGCACGAGTTCGATCGCGTGATCGTACGGCTTCCTTTCAGGTAGCCGTTCTGATGCTTCCTTCGAGAAGACCTTCAGAAACTCGTGGTACTGTTTAGGCACTGACTCTTCAGCGGTCTTAACGACCTTCTTTTTGATCTCCTCCTCAGCGAACAGCTGGGAGTACATATGTCCGGCTGCAACGAACAGCTGAGGGGCGCCGGGAAGCGTAATACCTTGTTCCCAGGCTTCGATCAAGTCGGCTTCGTCCCACTCGACCTCTACCGGATCTTCTTCGGGTTCGAAGTCCGGGAGTACCTTACTCCGGCAGGCACCTATGACCGACCATTTGGACTTCGGTGAACGTCTGCGCACCGTGGGCCTGACCCCCGTATCACGCGCAGCCACCACTTGCTCCATTCGGCCAGTCTTCCTGGTACTGCACGTTTCAGGGCATCGTGATAACTTTAGGGAGCCCGACTCCCAATCAATCTCAGGGTTGTGCTCGCGTAGCCAATCCAACCCGACGATCACATCTTCTGGACCTATGTCCGTGACCGTAAACACCATCTTTTCGACGTGTTCCCCTATCTGCATCTGTAGCACGGCTACTTCCGAGATGCTTCCGTCCTTGTTGAGGGTTCCATCGATATTGTAAAGCGGGATTGGTTCCTTCAATTTCCACGTCTGTACTCGATTTTCCGTGATGAAACATTTTTTGATGAACTTTGTGGTGGCTCCGCTATCCACCATTGCAACTATGTCCTTGTGCCGTCTTTTCCCTTTGAGGCGCACCGGGATGTGGAAATGCTGGGACCCGTGGTCCAATTCGTACACATTTGCAGTCGCCAATACATTGTACAGGTTATTACTATGCGGCCCGACGTGTGCGGCACGAAGTGCGGACCAGATCAAAAAGACTCTTCCTTGAGCGCCCGGTAGTGCTCCAACTCCTCACGCATCAACTTCACCTGTGCCATCAAGTCCGTCAGCTCGGAGCTTTTCGATTTCGCTGAAGCGGCACTTGTACTTGCCGAGGGTGAAGTGATGGGGGCGTTTGTTGCAGCCTGGGTGGACCCCGAGGCTACCGTAGCCCACGCGTCGGCGCGTTTTGTGTAAGGCTTGTCCTTACAGTTGGGGCACTCGAAGCATTGGTACCCTCTCTTCCCACAGCCGAAGCATTCTCCATGGAAGTTTCCTTTTCCAACGGCCACATTAATGCTGGCCGAAGCACCTTGTGAACGGGGTGCACCACCACGTGCCCCACCGCGTCCTCGACCTCGAGCTGAGAAGAAGTTGTTTAGCTCGGGCCGACAGGCCCTGCTGATGTCGAGGATCTGTTCGACCTCAGTGGCGCGCTTCTCAGCTTCTTGCCACGTGGTGAATGTCTCCAGCTCGATTTTGCGGTAGACACGGGAGGGGATGCCGCTCAGGTACTTGTCGCGCAGTTCCAGGTCTCCATACCCGGAACGGTCCGCCGGACCCTTGAACAGCGCGGAGAATTCCGCAGCAGTGCATTTTTCACGGACCGACTTGTCTGCGCAGAGCTTCACCAGCTCTACTTGTGCTGCTGCCTCGTCATCGAGATTACCGAAGCGGGCCTTGAAGGCGGCAGTAAAGGCTGCTTCGTTCCTGAAGGGGGTCGTGACTCCCTGTACACCCATTTGCACCGACGCGAGCTGGGAGAAGTAGGGAGTGGCCCAGGCGCGGGCATCTCTGTCGAGTAGGCTTAGTGCAACCTGCACCTTGAGCTCGATGGTGGTTAACGACATGTTAACCAACCAGTAGATGCGTAGCTGTGACAGGAACCTGTCACACTCGATGACGGTTTTGCCGTCATAGCGGAGAGGGAGGAGGAGCTTCAGGGTCTCCTTGTCGGGGGCAGCAGTGGGCGAAGACATTATCGGCGACGGGGGGGACGGAGGACGGCGCGGGGGCGGAGGCGGCTGTGATGGCCCTCCGCTGGTCGGACTTCGAGGGGAGCGAGTGCGCGAGCGGCCTCGCGGTGGCGACGGCGGTGGAGGCGCTGGAGGAAGCCCGGAGGAGGGGTTACATACGTCAGGGACTGCTGACGCGGGGGTGAGCGCTGTCGGCGAGGCGGACCGAATAGAATCCGCGGACTCGGACTCCGAGACTCCTTCTTTACTCGCACTCTCCTCAGGCTCAGGCTCTGGCGCAGGGTCTGGAGGGAGATCTCCTCGCGCTTGACTTGGACCGGTGACAGTTTGGGGAAGGCGAGAGCTGGGGGAGACAGGGCGAGAATGTTGTGAGGCGGATCGGGAGGCGAGGGTGCTGCGGGGGCCGAGCAGATGTTGGGCCCTTCTGATCGCTTTGTACCGTGGGTAATCCTGCTCGATCGATCGGGGTGTTTGGTTGGGGCACGGCTGCTGCTCACAGGTGTAGATGACAGTCTCAGGGCCATCTGGGATGTAGGTGTTGACGAGGTCCTGAGAGTCGAATGCGTGAACTTGGCCTTGACAGGCAGCCACGATGGATGGGGGGAGGACGGGGAGGTGCGCGTACTACAAAGGCCATGCTATACTAGCTTACACCTACAGCGCCCGAAGTAACACTAGGGTTCGCAGTTCACGTGGGGCCCAGTACTGCTTTTGGCTAGTATGCAGCAGGAACCTAAGCCACGCGTCCGTGAGGACAAGTACCGCCCACTGAAGTGCAGGTACTGAAGAGTTCGTTTCTTGAGTGTTGGCGATGTACGTATGCTATCTACGTATCGTAATGTATAGTAGGGTGCGCACCACCCAACCTGTAGGAAGTGAAAGTGAGTGTTTGGGTTCTGATGAACGCCGGCAGCAATGGGGAGTTTCGACCTAATGTCGCGACTTAGGGTCAAGCGACAGGAGAAAACCTAAAGGCTGGGGGTGTTCGACTGAGTCTCACCGAAGCGATGGTGAGCAGCGCTCAAACCTAAGGCTAGGGACAAGATAATATATTAGTTAAGTAAGAAAAGGGAATACAACTGGGGGCTTACTGACCTAGGGACAAGAGGTCGAAACTGAGGTCCCTAGGGCAGCAGAGGCCGGCTTATATACAGGGGGAGATAAGGGCAGGCTGTGCGCACTGGTCCGTGCACAGCTGGTCCGTGCACAGCATGCTGACGCGGCCCCGGGGGCCGGTGAGTCAGAGTGGCTGTGTCAGCGGAGCCCGAGCTGTGCCGCGCACTGCCGCCCATCTAATCTAATCGTACAGTAGATAGCGATGCGTCCATATCAGGCATGTAGTACAGAGGTCGCGGGTTCGAGCCCGCGAAGAGGAAAAATTAAAAAACAGCTAGACGCCGTACCAACTCGTGACAGGTCCCTAGGGCAGCAGAGGCCAGCTTATATACAGGAGAAGATAAGGGCAGGCTGTGCACACTGGTCTGTGCGCAGCTGGTCTGTGCACAGCATGCTGATGCAGTCCTAGGGGCCGGTGAGTCAGAGCGGCTGTGTCAGTGGAGCCCGAGCTGTGCCACGCACTGCCGTCCCATCTAATCTAATCGTACAGTAGATAAGGACTTGTCCGTCCGAGCGTGTAGTACAGAGGTCGCGGGTTCGAGCCCGCGGAAAGGAAAAATTAAAAAATGGCTAGACGCCGTGTCAACTCATGACAATGAATGATAATTAGGACCATATAAAGTAATTGATTATATTATACAGAGAGCCAGCACCTGACCAGGGACGGCACGTGCTTCAGGGGCAATTTCCGTTCGGGGCTCACTGTTGTGCGGGGGCGGAGATGTACACTGATGGGCTCAATTCCGCCCGTCAATTTGGTGCTGCAGCGGAGATGTGCGCTGACGGGCTCAAGTCCGCCCGTACCTTTTCCGCCCAGACTCATCGGTTATTAACCTGGGGTGGAGTGACGGAAAATCCGCCCGTGTTGAGTACCGTGACCTCCCTGTGTACATAGCGCTCGCTACGTATCGCGCTTTCCCTCAGTCCCCTACATCGTAGGCAACGGACTGAGGGTAAGTCAATCTCCTATACTACAATAGCTAATACTTACTCATGTATCTACAACAGTACAATATCCATAGGTACGGAATATTAGTCCCCTACATCGTAGGCAACGGACTGAGGTACAATATCCATAGCCTTCAACACGCTCGGGAAGGAGTCCGGCTGGTCGCACCGTCTGGCGAACGACTCAGAGATGCAGGATGTCACCATGCGCAAGCAGGAATTTAGAGACCGCAAAGACTAGGCGAGCACATCAGGGAGCCTCGTCAGGCAGGCGTCCTGACCTAGTGCTATGAATCACCGCATGTTGTGACGGAGGACGTGCTATGCACAGCGGAGCTATTGTAACGAGCACGTCAAAGGCTTGCTTGTAGGTAACTGCAACGTATACTACGTTCCATCCGAGGAGCCGGAAGCAACTGGCAGGAGTGCCCGACGCCGTACCCGAACAACCCAAGGGTGAAGACGCTGATGGGCACCTGGTCGGACTGGTCGGGGACAGACCTTCGACGTGTACGACGACTTAACGGGAATAGGCGACTGAATACACAACTCACGACCAGACTTGGTGGTGGTGATCGACCTGTGCATGTAGATCAGTGTGTGACGATGATGCGGTGCATCTTGTCGCTCGAAACAGGATGTGGAATACTGCGGGAGTGTACACACGCCCACACACGTGCACGTTGGACCATAGAAATGACAATGTAAGCGAACATGGACAATCAACTCTCTGAGAGTGGCGCTGACTAAGCAGTTATCTATAGGCACCGGTGGCGCACACTGTTCAATTTGGACCAACGCCAGCACTACCCCCAATCAACTCGCGACATACTCGACGCTTGAAGAATGAAAGCTGCGACCAGCCATATCGCTGACGTGACCCGTACCTTTGCTGTTGGCCACCCCACACGCGAACTGAGGACCCCTGAGCTTCCGGGGAGCCACTCTTCACGCGAAAGCTCTCCACCTACTTCACCCAATCCTCTGGCCGACTGCATCCCATCCGTTCGTTTTGAAGACCATTCCACGCATATACTTAGCCATGACCACGAGACAATCGAGGTCCATCCAGATGCGGTCGACCCAGTCTTTGTCTATATCGAACAAAACTCGCCACCTGAAGGCAGCACCTGTTATTTGCAACGAATACGGTGTGCAAACACGACGGCCGATGAGGTCCGTGTAAAGAGAAGGCGGTTGTCTGATAGTCCGAGCGACGCGTCAAAGCTCAAAGACGGTATTCCTTTCGGACCTCACCCTAGATGCATGATCACGGGCTGCGTGTCCGCTGAGGTGGAAGCGTGCTATATCCTGCATCCCGACACGCCTCAGCCGTTGGTGAGTAGCGTAATTACCACTTCGGCCTCGTAGCTGACAAGGCAGCTGTGTAGGGCGACCGCACAATGCCCCGTGTGCCTACTGAATCTGATGCCGTCTGTTGTAGCACTTCCGAAAACATTATATTCCGTGCGTGCTTCCTCACGTCTGGCCTGTCTTACCTTGTCTTACAACCCTCCTGCAGTTTGACGCGACCTCCGTATACTATGGGAAATGAATCGCCTGTTGATGATACCCCATCCCGATCATATAGACCACCTTGATACCCGCCCTGTATGTATGGTACGTCCTTTCAGATGGTCGCCGTGCTCACAGTCAAGTAGGTCTACACATACCACGTCATCGTAGAGGATGAGCAGCCTCCAGACTTGGGCGCCCCCCAGGATCATACCATTATACCTCTAGCTACGACCGCTGATTGCTCGTATCGCTCGCTGGGGTGGCACGAGCTGAGTGCTAATCTGCATCTGATGACAATTCGAGTGGGCCGTGAATTTATTAAGCGACCGCTCCACCCCGAGCATGCTTTATCTAAGGACGTTCTTGTACATATACCCATCATCCGGATAGCCCAGCCAGATGCAGTCGAGCCGGTCTCCCCGCACATTGAACGAGAGTTGCCAGTCGAGGGCATCTCCCGCCTGCCGAAGCGAAAACGGAGCCCGGAGACAGATATTGATGAAGTCCCCGCCAAGTGAATGCGCACGTCCGTTACTGAATGCCACGCGTCCAATGTCGAGGACGCCGTTCGTTTTGGACCTCACCCGAGATGCATTATCACCGGCTGCGTATCTGCTGATGTAGAGGCGTGCTATATCCTCCCTCCCGACATGCCCCAGCGATTTGTGAGTATGCATGACTGTTGCCTTGGCTTTTGTGACTGACGAGATGAATCGGAAGATCGACAACGTGATGCAGAACGTGCCTGGCAGCTACAACTCCGCGCGCTGTCGCACACCTGGGAATATTATATTCCGTGTATATTTTGTAATCGGTCTATTTGTCATTTGTGGCCTCACCCATTGTACGCAGTTCGGCGTGACCTCCGAGAGCTGTGGGAAACGGACCGTTTGTTGGTGATACTCCATCCTGATCATTTGATGGGTGAGATATATCGCACTGTATGTATTGTATGCCCTCTTGACCAATCGTCGTGCTTACGGTGACGCAGGTGTTCAAGTATGGCGTCATCGCAGAGGACGAGCACCCTCCAGGCTCATGCGCGACCATGAGTCACCCCATTACGCCTTCCATCATGACGGCCCCTTGTTCGTATCGGTTGCTCGGGTGGCACGAGTTAAATGCCGATCGCCGTCTGATGATGTTGCGAGCTGGACGGAAATTGAGCAAGCGACCACTGCACTACCAGCATATTTTGCGGGACCTACTACCCTACAAGGAGAATAATTTTGCATACACCACCATCCGTTGGCATGGGTCGTGGACGCGCACCTTTCCTTTCGAGAGAGTACCCGGCAGGCGGTTGTGGGCAACAGGCGAGCTCGCACCCTTCCCTGATGGTTATTTCCGTAAATTCAGGAGGCAATACTGCTCTCCACTGTCGGATGACGATGCTGTCCGCTTTCCTCGCCCATTCCGGCCAATCCTCTCAGGGATGAAGAGGAAATGTTCTGGAGACACCATTGTGAGCAGTCAGGCTTACACCGCGGATGAAAATGCTCAACGGGAAGTCAGTATTCGTCAGTGGTGTCTAGATTGCGATCAAGTTCGAGACGAGTGAACGATGGGACCGCCTGCGGAACTTGAGGACGCAACGCTGCTCGCTTATCAGCAGGAGGAAGCCGGCGATGTGCTGCCCATTGTGAAGAAACTCTGGACGACAGAATGTAGTTCATCATCCCACGGTCTGGTTTCTCAGGGAAACGTTTGACTGACGTCGTCTGGCATAAAATGCAATGCTCTGAAGATACGGACCTAAGTTCTGACACCTGGCCTTATATTCCACGCGGCTGTATTTTGCATGTGCTCGCCAGGTCACGAACATCCAGAATGGTCTGCTGGGGAACCTTGTCGACCCTTCATCGCGAATAGAGGTTTTGTCATCACGTTGCCTCGCAGACCCAAATGGACTGATACTGACACCCCTGATCCGCGCGGGTAAGCCAGGCGTGCTTTCGAACCATGCATGACGATTGTCGCCGAGGGGCGGGAAGTGCACTTATATTAACGAGTGGTGCTTTATCTCGACCCCATCATTTCTAGTATATTCTTATATGATGTCTGTAGCTCTCGGGATTTCGGCTGCATCTCAAAGTGTACTGCCGGCTGCGCCGATGACATGCGCGGTGCTCGCGAGACGACACACGGCGTCTAGCAGCCGTCGGTACATACCACTCTGGTACGTTCAATCTGTGTCTAGTCTTTTTCCGCTTACTGATCTCGGCACACAAGTTCTAATTCTTCAAGTAACGATCCCTTCACGAGGCTGAACATGGTGTAACCGCCAGACAATGGCAGACATTAAGACTTAATCTACTTCGCTTTTCATACCCGGGTATGCCTAGCATGCTCGAGGAAGATGGGCTGCGCTACATCACAAGTGCCAATTGTCAGCAGCAGCAGGACATACGACCCGAACGTGTGAGACAATATATATCCGTATGTGTATCCGACTAAAGGGCAGGTTTGGACCCTACGTAGACCAGCCTTTGGGCATCTCCAGACGGGTTGTGCTACGCGAATGGTACCAGCACAACTCTGCACGGCAGCTCAGTCGAACTGTGGCGTTGCACTCATATACCCGCGTTTAGGCGATCACCGCTGAGTGCGGGTGTTTTAGTCGGACCTGTAGTTTATCCTCACCGATGGCGTGAAAACTACTCTATACGAAGGCAATGCTGTGAGTTGACTCCTTGACCACGGCCTACAGACCGTTGATGCTATCTCCAAGACTATCTGGCGTGTTGGAACAACCGGTGCGATGTCGCGGCGAGCGCGTTTGTCCACGAGCTGGCGATGCCCGTAAGGGACAATCGCGTGCGGTACGTACATCGCGCGAGGTCGTTATATACTACGATAGGGGCCTCTAGCCCCCCGGTTACTCGCGCGCCCGAGCTTGCGAGCTCGTTACTGAACGCGTGCTTCAACATGGCGTTCCCTCTATAGCGTCTCCGAAGTTCGGTCCTGAAGCCGGTTCTGAACCGCGAACCGAGCTTCGGAGACGCTATCCCTCTATCGTAAGCCCAGATCTGCATCATGGCCTCGAGGTTCAGTGATTTCATAGTCAGGCAGGCAGAGCGTCTTCATACGGATCCCATCGACGAGTGGCGCCAGACACCTACACCATCCAGTGATTGGTATATCGACGAATGGCACACCAGTGTACACATGTCGGTCGCCGAGAACCCACGCGCACGATCAGGTGATTGCTTTATACCCCACTGCTTCCTCGCTGGACAAGCTCAATGATGACACTGCCGCCCTCTGTTGCTCGGCCTCGAACTCCAAATAGCCCACGTACTGGGCGCCAGAACGGCTCAAGAGAAGTCCACGTGAACGACAGCGCGGTCCATGTGCTGAGATTTCCGCCTTGACCCCACCACGGATGATTGGCGCGACTTGCATCGAAGACCGGTCCAGTATGTGGTCCGGCTTGCATGGGCTCACGTTCTCTAGAATTCTATAGAGTTCCGCAAACATTTGTATTTCAGCTGTACCATTCTACTTACGCCTAGCAAGTCGTTTCGAGATGAATGACCGCCAATTTCTAGTCCGCTGCAAAGTGTCTTAAGAAGGCATATCTATGATGTGGTTTGGAAAGTGCAATTTCTATGTATCTGAGAATAATTGACCATGTCGTGTAATTGTGTTCCGACCCCCTGCAGGCCCTCAGGTGCAGATTTGAAAGACTACTGGCGAAATGGCCGAATCGTGACCAAACAATCATGGATCTAATGTTCCGTAGCCCACCTCTGTTTGCGAAGATAAGCTACTCGTTCATGACCTGACAGTGCCACATCTAGACCTGGTGAGGACCCATGAGATGTAGCTACTCGGCTTCCTCTCAGTGCGACACGCTCGAGACGCGCTCGTTCGACGGTTCGTGTTGTCTCGTGCCGTTCTCAGAACTCGATCTGCGAGGTCGCTGTCCTTGGTCTTTGTGCCGCGTATCGAGCCTGATTCGACGACGTCGGAGCTCCGTTCTGCTGGATCCTTCGAGCACCTCGAATAGCCCTACGTCTCCTCGCCTGGCAAAGGCAAGAGATAGCATATACTTGCCTGATGGGACCTTTTGATTGAGTGAATGTATTAGCGGCCATATGCGCCATACTCACTCGTCCCTTGCGGAATTACAAGGATGGTGTTCTGGGACATCAGTGACATGGCCTGCTCAATTCTTGTCACTCCGCTCGTTCGCGGAGCGCCCACCTGTTCGGTAAATAGTTTCAACTCCGACCGATCCCTCAGCCACTGATCAGTCGAAATTGGAACCACCTATGAAAGACGGGCGCTAACGAACGAAAGAACGAGCGCGCGACAAAAATTAAGCAGCCCTATCTGTATACTTCAAGCTACTTCGAGCTACCTTCTCACTGAGTCCTGGAGCGAACTATAAGATCGCCATGCATGACAGATCGTGACCAAGTCGTTCCTTTTACGTGACTGGGGCCCGGGGGGCCTGCCGACTGCCCGGGTAGGCGCTTGAAATTCTTCATGGAAACTAGTATTTACTATCGTCGCTATCTTTAGTGTTCATATGCCAGTGGTTATAGCCTCGAATTGAAACTCTATCTCAAGGCTAGGTCCCGCCACTTATCACCTTGCACTATAAGTAACGAACTCAAAGCTTTTCCTTATCACGCCTCTTGAGTTGCAAATACCGCTCTCATTCTTCTACTCTGACCTATCTATCCCGCTACAAGTCATCATGTATACAGTATACTGCGTCTGCCTTGGACTGCTCTATGTAGTATATAAGCGTCTCGTTCTCTCGCCTTTGAGCAAAGTGCCTGGGCCCGCGATCGCCGCCACTACCCGACTTGTTTTGATTTATCACGAGTTCACTCGGAATCGACGACGCTGGATCCACGCACTACACATGCAGTATGGGCCTGTTGTGCGCATCGCTCCAAATGAGGTATCCATGGCGACTTGGGACGCCGCGAAAGAGATCTATGTGTCGGGAGGCAGCGGCTATGATAAAACATCGTTGTATAAACTATTCGACAGCTACGAGACAGAGTATGTCATTCTTGTCCTACCATTTCGAGAAGTGTACTCAGTTTTGAGAAGATTGTGTAGAATCAGCAGCTTCGCTACCCACTCCCTTGCAGTTGTATAGCTGGCAGAGGCCATACGTACACCAGAAGCGTCACATCTCCTTACGCAAATTGCGCAAAAGGCCACGGGCAGTTGTTAGACGCTTGATGAGAGCATCAGGTTTGCCTTCGGGCGCGTTGATTTAGTACTTCACTAGTGCGCGCGTGTTATCATGCGTAGCCTTCGTAATGCCACCCTTCGTGTCATAGTCGGTGTGATGGAAGACATCTGGATTCGCAACCGTTGTGAGACCTCCATTCATGATTGACATGACCTACAGAAGTTAGAAAACACGCCTCGAAGATCCGGGATGGGTTATGAGCTATGGTTGGCAGCCATAAATATATCTTTCTCCGAGTGGAAGCGCTCTATTCCTTCGCGAATATTATCAGCAGTATTGCACGTATGGGGTTTGAGGACGATCTCTGTTTGACTAGTGACGGCAGTGTTCTGGTGTTACCCAAACATCACCAGCGATAAACGCGCACGCCGTGTGCTACGATCACGTGGTTCGTTCATATCTCGCTGAGGCTCATTTCGCGCGTTGCACGTTGCATTCCCCGATGCCCACACGACCTCATTGTTGTGTGCTCTCATCGCCGTTTCTCTCCCACATGATTACAGCTTCGGCCATGCATGGTGCGAGGCTCTTGGCAGAAGAAGCATCCGGCACTGATGATCAAGCGGGTTCTAATGCCGACCATGCGTTCACCTTATAACGGCTGGCAGGACATAGCGGTTCATCAACCTGTGGCAGCCGCATTCCACCATGTTCGTCACAGCAGCAGCAACAGCCCTCCTTGTGGGTATACCCGCAGCACTTGGCGGCCAGGTACCTGCTCTTGACGGCGTCTGGGGTGCAGTCTCCAGCAATAGCTCCCAAAGAGCGATCGTTGCTACATCGACCGTTCCGGCTGTGGTTACGCCAGGGAAGCTGCGTGTCGCAGAAAACAGTGGAGTCTGCGAGACTACCCCCGGTGTATACCAGGCGTCGGGTTATGGTGACATTGCCTCGAACGAGAGTATCTGGTGCGTGTTCAACAGCATTATGCGGCTAACTGCTTGCTAAGTGCTATGTGATTTAGGTTCTGGTTCTTTGAGTCAAGAAACGATCCCGACAACGCACCACTCACGATATGGCTAAATGGTGGAGTGAGTACGACGAATACTAAGTGCGCCTCTGACGGCTCAATCTCGATTGCAGCCCGGAAGCTCCAGCATGATCGGCCTATTCCAGGAACACGGGCCGTGTCGCCTCACGAATGACAGCAGTGGCGTCACATACAATGACTATTCATGGAACAATGTGTCGAACATGTGAGGTCATGTTCTCTTGCATATGTGTCCAAGGCCAAACCTGTGAAATCCAGCCTTTACATTGATCAGCCAGTGGGCGTTGGCTTCTCGTATGGAACTCTGGACGTCGGTACTTCCCAGGAGGCTGCCGCGGACGTGTGGAGCGTAAGCTTACGTTTGATACGATCTAGTGTATTGTCTCAGTGACCGTTCGTAGTTCTTGCAAATCTTCTTCGCAGACTCCAGGTTCAGCAAGTATCAGGAGCATGATTTTGCCATATGGACGGAATCGTATGTGCTCTGACCGTCTTTGAAGTCATGACTTTGCCTGATATGCTTTCAGCTACGGCGGTCACTATGGCCCGACATTTGCTGCGTGAGTGTAACTCATGGTTGCACATGCAGGTTAGCTCATCGCCCAATAGCTATTTCCTAGTACAAAATGCTGCGATTGCCAATGGATCAATCTCGGGCTTGCCGATCAACCTGAGATTTCTCGGTGTGGGAGATGGCCTCACTGTACGCCGATCGATCTCAGCTTGACGCCAGCCAGACGTACTAGACACCTAATCTAGGACCCGCTCTCACAATACCCGGGATATTTGGAGTATGCCGCATCGAACCCGTAAGTCTCTTCACCAGTTGCTGATTCAATTCGCTTATGCATTACTGCGATAGGTACCATCCGTTGGTGTCCACCTCAGAAATCCAGGATTCCACCACACGTTGGCAGGAATCTGGGGGCTGCAAGGATCAAGTGAGCCCACCGACCATAAGGTCACATCAGGCAGGCATCCTGACCAGCGCCATAGATAACTGCATGCTATGACGGCGGCTCCGACGACACATGCTCCGCTGCGCAGAGCTACTGCAATAGCTACATACTAAGCCCGCTTGCGGGTAACTATGACGTATACTACGTGCTGTCTGAGGACCCGGACGCGTACCCGCCGGACCCGACGCCATACCTGAACAATTCAACGCTGATGGCATTGATTGGCGCCGAATCGGACTGGTCGGAGACTAACTACGACGTATACCAGAACTTCGCAGACACGGGTGACTGGATGCGTAACTCGCGGCCGGACCTGGAGACGGTGATTGATTCGGGCGTGCGGACGATCGTGTTTGACGGCGACGCAGTGGGTTGCTTCGTGCTTGGGATGACCAGCGGCTCGCAAAGAACACTGATGCATACGCGTGACTGCAGGACTACATCCTTAACTTTGACGGCGTCGAGGCGATGGTGAAGAACTTGCAGACGAAGTTCAGCAATGAATTCAACCAGCAACAATTCACGAACTGGACAGTGCACGGGGAGCCCGCCGGGATCTACAAGAATGCGGGCACCTTTTCGTATGTCCGCATCTTCGGAGCGTACGTGTACCATCATATGAATGAGTTCATCCCAACCTGAATCGTGATCAGGGGCCACGAGGTCGCAGCCTACGAGTATGGGAACCTTGCGCGGGGGGAGGCGGCGCTGCAGATGTTCAGTCAGATCATGGGTAACCAGTCGCTGTTCTCTACATAGGCAGCGCAACGAGACCGTACATGTCGAGGCTGGGGATGGACTTGCCAGTACGTGGTCGATCGATAGTCGAGATGTAGTTACGCAAGTGTACGATCCATATTGCTGGCGCATATGGCACATCCGCTGCTCGAAGGCCGTCCATCTGTGCAGTCGAAATACAGGTTTCACACCCGCTCCTGTTTGACATCTGTATGCCCGCGCCGGCAGTTGGTATGTCGATGTTCCTCCCAAACTGCTTGCTGACGCGTGTCCTCCGGAATGACAACCTTGCGGTCCACTCTCTGAAAGGAATGGTCTCGGCAGGAGGCGTTAGCTTCCTCTCTGGACTTTAACGTGGATCCTCTTCTGACGATCCTCTCCTCTGCTTCGCACGCTTTGTATCATTTTCAGAGTCACTGGACTCTCATGGGCGTTGGACTGTACCCGGGTCTGGTTCTGAGCAAAGCAGTCTCATCGGTAATGACTTGCGGTTGAGTGACGAGAGCCCATGTTCGAGTCGTCGCCGGCTAATATGTTGGCATTTGGTGCCGTTGCACGCCTATTGTCTATGGCTAGCTATATTGTTTCCGAAGCAACACCACCGGAATGAGATGGAGCCCGGCTCAAAGTGGCAGAGGGATCTGCTGAGCTGATGTTGCCCTGTGAGAAAAGAAAACACTGCATGACAAACCAGGCAAACTATTACTATGCCTCCCTGGGTAGTCGGCAGACCCCACAAGTCAGCAATTTCGTAGTATCTCCCTCCACAGTGCTCGATTTAAGGTATGCTTCCGGCTCCGCGGATGGAACGTAGTATACATTGCAGTTACCTACAAGCAAGCCTTTGACGTGCTCGTTACAATAGCTCCGCTGTGCATAGCATGTCCTCCGTCAACAACATGCGGTGATTCGTAGCACTAGATCAGGACGCCTGCCTGACGAGGCTCCCTGATGTGCTCGCCTAGTCTTTGCGGTCTCTAAATTCCTGCTTGCGCATGGTGACATCCTGCATCTCTGAGTCGTTCGCCAGACGGTGCGACCAGCCGGACTCCTTCCCGAGCGAGCGGGTCTCTCAGAATCCACAAAGTTTTACCAATTCGATGCGTCATATTTCGAGTATGCCGAATATTATGAGGGGTTTCTGGAGAATGTATTCAGTATTGCTTGCGTCAACAAGAGACGCAGACGCGGGTTCACGAATTGTGAGGCCATCGCCCGCCCAAGGAGAACGCCCTCACATGCTTGACACAATGTCCCACGAGCAGTCATCATATATCAGGGAGGCGACACGGCAGGTGTATGTGGAACAGGCAGATCGTGCTAGAGCTTCCAGGCTGCGTTCGAGATTGAAGCATCCTCCACGTTCACAAAGCTCACCCTGGAATCGAATTTCCCTTCGTATGACGAGAGCATAAAGTGGGAAAGCATCAGTAACAGACTGTTGTTATGCGCGAGGTAATGTCCTGTACTGAGATACTGGGATTAATCTCGTAGAATGCTGTTTTAAGTGACGTGCTCCTATTGGCTCTCGCGGCTCCACTGTCTGGCCGACGATTCTCATTGGCCGATCGCGTTTTGCCCTAGATGCCAACCCATTCTATTACCTGAGTCGTTGTGAGACGACTGATTCATCCTTGCTGCAATGCTCTTGCATATCCTTGTGTCCGCCACATACACGCCCTCGTCTAGTGTTGCTTTCGTTCTACACCGATGGGCTTCAATATGCACCTTAGTCTCAGTCCGTGAAGTCTGAATTCGCGAAGTACAGCGAAGCGCAACAAAGTCTATTGGAGTTTCTGACGTTGCTACGACAGCTCCCATTCACCACGACCTCCCTGGATCTGCTCAGATGCAATCTTGACTGGGGCTCATGCACAATGTAATGATCAGACCATGCTCGCCTCGCTCTATGAATGTTCTGTGACCGACATTTCCGGACTTTCCAGCGATGAGACAGCGCGATTCTCGTTTGACACTCTTTGCAGAAAAGTCTGCCAAGTCTCCAGATTGTGAGTGTCAGTTACTGAAGGTATCTTTGTGCCTCGTTTTCCGCAGTCTGGATGGTAGCCTGGACAGATACCTAGCCCAGGTTGTGCTCCTGTCCCGCCTGGGGCTTTCAATAGATTCCAAACATCTGTCGGAAGAGTCAACACACTGTCTGCGAACCGGAATCGACAAGGTCTGTCGACTACTTCATATTCGTTCGCCATCTCCTGTGACTGAGGTTATCTATGATAAGTGATTGTCATGGATACAGTCACCCCATCTTTACGAGTCTCATCGCAAGTCAAACATTTGACGTAAGTCACCATGTATCATGGGGAACATCTCCTTCCCAATGGTACATGGCGATTATTGGTGGCCGATGGGGACGGGGTTTATACTATATAGCATCTGTGTCATCTCAGCCCGGACCGTTGTCAAGGTATCAAGCGTGTCACTTCATGCAACGTGGCTCTCGGAGTATTTGCAGGAGCTCCTGTGGCTATGAACCCCGTAGCAAGCTGCATTCCTGTGCATGTCGCGGATATCAGACTGCTGGCGAGATGCGACGCCACAGTCAGGCGCAAGCTCAGCAATGTAACCTCGTACTGATTCTTTTCAACTGGATTTCCCTACTCGCGCCCCGACGTCGTACATGTCATGATGGATTGTTGGCGGACTAGATCTAAATTTCACCAGAGTCAAATGTGCAAACAACATTCATTAACTGGTTGTGTACTGCGACGACCCGGGATGTTCCAAATAACGTAACCGCTCTCTCATGTCTTGTGATGAGCAGCGGTGTGATCAGGTCACCTCTCATACACATAGAGTAGAAAAAACGCATGGATAACTATACGATTGGGTACTACATAATGGGGCATAGATGATTAGCTATAGCAAGGCATATTTCTCGTGTCCGAACTGGCCATAAGGCAGCATACATCCTGATAATCACCCTACACGCAGCATTGACCGATAACACGCAGACCTCTTGAATCCAGCTAGGAGCGCATCCGTTATGATATGAGTATTAATGAAGTATAATCGACGCACCAATCGAGACAGCTAGTCCAACCAAAAAGCTTCTTCGGCAGCGGGATCCCAGCTGAAGGCTACTTTGGTAGCGGAATCCGTCCGACAGGCTTCTTCGGCAGCGGGGTCCATGCTGAAGGCTTCTTCGGTATCTGAATCCATAAAAAAGGCTGCTTCGGTGGCGGAATCCATGCTGAAGGCTTCTTCGGTATCTGAATCCATAAAAAAGGCTGCTTCGGTATCTGAATCCATAAAGAAGGCTTCTTCGGTGGTGGAATCCATGCTGACAGCTTCTTCGGTAGCGGAATACATGCTGTCGTCGTGCGGCATGCCTTCTGACAATTGGGCGCAGATGTTTTTGATTCTAGTGAGTATGTTGATTGCTTCATATTCGATATTGTGCTTCTTGTAGAAGGCGTCTAGAGCTGTTTCGAAGCTACCTGGTCCGTCACCCTTCGATAGCGCCAGACCCACATTGTATATGACGAATCCAGGAGGAACGCGGGAAAACACCCAGCTTATGGTGTCGAGTGTCCTCGGAAAAGCACTATCTTCTTCTGAGCGGGGAAGGTCGCGATGGCCGATGGCGCAATATCTGTAAGGAGGGCCTCCGCACACTCTAAATGGTTCGTCCAGTGGCTGGATAGCATCGTGAACAGAAAACAATGTCTAAACCCTGTCCCTTCACTCACCATGCCTACATTGATGGGAACAATTGATCTTGTAGGATACTCGGCGACGATTTGAGGATCAGGCACGAAGATAATATGCCCTTTGTCCCACAAGGAGTGGAGATCGGCTCTTACTATGTGGGGTCTGAGTCAGGGCTACGTCGAGCGATTAGGATATATACACTCACGCAAAAAGAGGTTGAAAGGTGTGTCGATGTCGAAATCTGTAAGCCCCCACCATGCCGCCAGCTGCTTACGCTACATGCACGGACGCATCCGAGTCAGGGTCGCGCGAATGCCACCGCGGACTATTGGTGACTTACCAAATCATCGTCGGTTCTTCGCGGAATGACGTGACATCCCTGAATCGACTTGTCGTCTTGGTGGGTCAACAAGCACCGTGGTCCAGTAGGAGCTAATTGGGCGACTTGCGACTTGAGGGTGTTAACGCGCGCTTCACCGTTGGACTTGCGGGCCTCCGGTTTGCGGTCTTTGTCATTTACAAGACCCATAGATGTTCAAGTGAGTCCGTGGCACATAACAAGGGAATGCATAACGACGTACCCTTCGACCGTTCAGGCGTCCTTTGTACGCCTGTCGGAATGTTCATAGGAAGCCTACGAACGAGATAAGTGGTTGCGTTGCCACGAATCAAGTATGTTCACTGACATATGTTCCTGCTTCCTCCTCAATTGTGCTTCCCCCGGTGGTGGCGCAGTCCACAACGCGTTCAATCTCAAGAAGTTCTCCACAACGCGGGATGCGTCGACTTTGAGGTGGATTCTTTCGTAGAACTCCTGCAGACACCTCACCCACAGCTCTTTGTTCTCCATGATCTTCATAGCGGCATTCACGACCATGAAGTGTGACTGCGCGTGGGACGGCACAAATTTGAGCTTGTGGAACCCGTTGGTGAACCCTTGGCGGATTGCACGCTTTGCCCTAGAGCGTGCACCACCTGAGAGGCTAGGGTGGGGGATCACACAGTACCGGTGGATCTTCTTCTTGCCGATGACCTATACGCATTGTGGCGACGATTCGCATCAGTCGTAAACGAATAGCTTGCGGCGACCCACCTTCAAAATGTCGTGTCTTTCACCATCCTTGTATTTTTCCACATATGCGTCCACCACATCGGGCATCGGAGCAATAAGAATGTCTCCGCGGTCCCACAATATATGGAGGTCGCCACGAACTGTATGCAAGTAAGCCCTCGCGTATCGACATGCCTCCGAGAACGAAGACGCACGGAAAGCCATATTGCGGCTAGAATCTACATTGAGGTCTTCTTTTTTGATGCCCCACCACCACTCCAGAGACGTGAGCTATGCATGCGCGTATGTAGACCGTCAGATGCGCCACCTCCGCACAGGAGCCACTTCAACTTACGATACGCGCGTCTGTGGCGCGTGGCAAGACATGGCACTGTTGCACTGACTTGTCCTTCAAGCCTGATATAATACAGGCACCTCCGTTCCGAGACGCCTTGACCGCTCGCTGTCGTGCACCGTTTGTAATGCCGTGCTTGCGACTCACTCTGTGTTTTGGAGTCTTTGGAGTGTCATTGACCGGCGTGCCTTCCCTAGACGGCCTATAATCGCTTCCGTCGTCTGATATTTCCCTTTTCCGTTTTCCATACGCAGGCTTGGGTTCGGACTCGGGCTGGGAGCCACTGACGCTGCACTCGTCGTAATCAACTGTGGCCGGGCCACAGTCAGGGCAAAGCGGTCAAAGATAGCGACGAGGAGCCGTACCTGGATCCAAGTCTTTGAGTCTATCAGACCGTCTCAATTCCAAGCTGTCAACCATGGCTAGGAGATTTTCGGAGATGAGGTGATGGGTGAAGGTGGGGGTGAAGGAAGAGACTGCGAGAGAGTGTGGCTCGAGCGGCTTTTGCTGAGTTCATATTATGTTGCAAAGCGCGTGACCACAGGCCACAGAGGCCATTGTATTCCAATTTGGATATTGCAGCCATCGTCGACGCGGGTCAGTGACTGGCGACCTCCCGCGTATTACCTGATCTGCATGGTCTGTGCGAGGTGTGTTCTGGAGTCGTGATATCAGATGCACGTCTGAGGCGCGGGAACCGTGCCCCGCTGACCGGGGAGACACATTGTAAAGATCGCATAAGGCGGCACGCTTTTCATTTGCTGAATCGGAACCGCACAGTCAGTCTGCGGAAGACTCGACGAAAAGGAACGAAGCTCACCTAGGACATGTCACTGGCGCGAAGCATTCCCGGGTGAGACGTTTGTGTCTGTCCGCCTCGAAAATCATGTTCTCACCGCAGAGTCATAAACTGGGTGATAAGGAAGAGTAGAGTATGGCATTGACGAGAAAGCTACAATTATTGACTCATTGGCACATTCAACAAGAAGCTGGAATTGACACCGCACGTCGCCCGTGTCTGCCAGAGGCTACGAACATTTGCTACATATACGCAAGGATGCAAACTGATTTATCTGTGTCATGAGTCGAAACCCTCATGGAACAGAGTCAGACGAATGCTGACGATGAGCACGGGAGGTCAGGTACGAATGTCCTGACACGTACTGTCCACAAGGGATTCTGTGTAAGGTGTTGAGGGATACTCTCTATCAAAAGACGGAACGTGTTCCGTGAGAAGCAAGGGGTTACATCTAAGCAGAAGTAGAATGTGAGCATCTCTGAAGTATGAAACAGATTGCAAAGTCAAAATAAACTGACCTGGACTCCGACTGCGATCTCACACGAAGGGGTTGCGACGTATTCCATGAAGAAACTCAGAGTGCTGAATTTGTGTATCACAAGGCGCAGACGGACATTCACGAGAGCGTACAGATTATGTCCGCCCACAAACGCACTGAGAATTAATTGATTGTACACTCAATCGACTACACCAATCAAGACTTGATTGGTTTCGGGGAACTCCGAGAGTAGCGCTGACTAAGCACCCGCTAACGGCACTGGTGGCGCACGCTATTCGCGCTACACCATCGTTACTACCTCGCTGAACTCGCGATACAGTCGACGCTAAAATGAATGGCCTTTACATCCTTATTCCTGACACGTCTCATACGCTCGCTGCTGAGCATCCCCCACGCCATATGAGTACTCCCGCGCTTTCGGACGATACTGGTAGCTCCTCTTCACGCGAAAGCTCTCGACCCGCTACACCCACTTCTGGAGTCAGTCGTGCACCATCTATCTCTTTTTGTGACTATTCTGAGCCTACTCTCTCTGGCGAAGGCACGTGCATCAGGATTGTCGAAGCAGATGCGGACTGCTCGCCACCAGAAGACACCACGCGTCCGCTGAAACGGAGGCGGTTGACGGATACAAGGGCTGATGAAGTCCGCGCAGAGAGAGCGCTGCCGCCTGATATTTGGAGTGATGCAACCATGGTCGATGACGGCGCGTTCTTCGGTCTTTGCCATACACCCATCAGCGACTGCACGAGTGTCGGGGACGTCGAGCCCGATGCAGTGGACCCGTTACCAGAATACGTCTCCCGTCCATTGAAAAGAAAGCGAAGCGCGGACACAAGCACCTATGACGCTCGCACAAAGAGGGCGCGGACGTCTGGCACTTCGAACGACGCAACCAAGGCCGAGGACCGCGCTTGTTCCGGTCTTGGGCATATACTCATCTACGACTACACGAAGATCAGGGTCATCGAACCTGAAGCGGCTCCCGCGGTCTCCCCCGATATGAACTCACACGCGTCACTTGAAGCCATCACTCGTCCGCCGAAGCGAAAACGGTGTGCAAACACGACGGCCGATGAGGTCCGTGTTAAGAGAAGGCGGCTGTCTGATAGTCCGAGCGACGCGTCAAAGCTCAACGACGGTATTCCTTTCGGACCTCACCCTAGATGCATGATCACGGGCTGCGTGTCCGCTGAGGTGGAAGCGTGCTATATCCTGCCTCCCGACACGCCCCAACCGTTGGTGAGTAGGGTAATTACCACTTCGGCCTCGTAGTTGACAAGGCAGCTGTGTAGGGCGACTGCGCGGCGGTCCCCATGCCTACTAATTATAATGCCTTTTGTTGTACCACGCCCGCAAACATCATATTCCGTGCGTACTTGCTCACGTCTGGCCTATCTTACCTTGCCTTACAACCTGTATGCAGTTCGACGCGACCTCCGTATACTATGGGAAATGAACCGCCTGTTGATGATACCCCACCCCGATCATATAGACCACCCAGATACCCGCCCTGTATGTATGATACGTCCTTTCAGATGGTCGCCGTGCTTACAGTCAAGTAGGTCTACACATACCACGTCATCGCAGAGGATGAGCAGCCTCCAGACTCGGGCACCCCCCAGGATCATACCATTATACCTCTAGCTATGACCGCTGAATGCTCGTATCGCTCGCTGGGGTGGCACGAGCTGAGTGCTAATCTGCATCTGATGACAATTCGAGTGGGTCGTGAATTCATTAAGCGACCGCTCCACTACGAGCATGCTTTATCTAAGGACGTTCTTGTGCATATACCCACTATCGCGCTTGTCCACCCAGATGCAGTCGAGCCGATCTCCCCCCACATTGAACGAGAATCGCCAGTCGAAGGCATCCCCCGCCCGCGGAAGCGGAAACGGTGTCCGGAGACAGAGACTGGTGAAGTCCCTGCCAAGAGGATGCACACTTCCGTCACTGGATGCAACGCGTCCAACATCAAGGACGCCGTTCGTTTTGGACCTCACCCGAAGTGCATGATCACCGGCTGCGTGTCTGCTGATGTAGAGGGGTGCTATATCTGGCCTCTAGACATGCCTCAGCGATTGGTGAGTATGTATGGCTGTTATTTTGGATTTTGTGACTGACAAGATGAATCGGAAGTTCGACACCTTGATGGCCGCTATGCGTGGCAACTACAACACTCTGCGTTGTCATGCACCTGGGAATATTATATTCCGTGCGCAAGTTTCACGTTTGACCCGTCGTTTGTCGCCTCACATACTGTACGCAGTTCGACGCGACCTCCGAGAGCTGTGGGAAACAAACCGTTTGTTGATGATACCCCATCCTGTTCATTTGAAGAAGCTTCAACATTGCACTGTATGTATCAATATGTCCTCTTCGCCGATCGCTGCGCTTATGGTGACACAGGTTTATAAGTATTGCGTCATCGCAGAGGACGAGCACCCTCCAGACTCATGTGCGACCATGGGTAACCCCATCACGCCTGCCGTCATGGCGGCCCCTTGCTCATATCGGTCGCTCGGGTGGCATAAATTGAAAGCCGATCTCCGTCTGATGGTATTTCGAGCGGGACAGAAATTGAGCAAGCGACCATTCCACTACAGGCATATCTTGCGGGAGCTGCTTCCCCACAAGGAAATTAATCATACATATGAGATAGTCTCCCGGTATAAGTCGTGGATGGCCCCCCTGCATCGCGAGATAGTACGCGGCAGGCGATTGTGGGCAACAGGCGAGCTCGCACCCTTCCCTGATGGTTATTTCCGCTGCTTCAGCACGCGGTATTGCTCTCCCCTGCCGGATGACGATGCTGTCCGCTTTCCTTGCCCATTTCGGCCGGTCGTCTCAGGGATAAAGAGGAAACGATCTGGTCACACCAGGGCGGACATTGAGATCTACACCGCGAAGGAAGATGCTCAACGCGAGGTTAGCGTCCGTCAGTGGTGTCGAGACTGCGATCAGGCTCGAGACGAGTGGACGATGGGACCGCCTGCGGAACGTACGGACGCAGAGTTGCTCGCTTATCGACAAGAGGACGCCAGCAATGTGCTGCCTGCTGCGCAAAAATCTTGGTTGGTGGAAAATTATTTTGCAAAGTACGTTCTCTGGTAGACCTGCAGGTGAAAGTATAGCTGACCTCATCTTGTCCAAACTGAAATGTTCCAGATACGGTCCTGAGTCTTGACACCTAGCAACATACCTCATATTACTGCGTTTTGCACGTGCTCGCCAAGTCATGAACATTCAGAATAGTCTGTGAAGAATCGAATTACATCGACCCGCCGTCGTGACTGGAGCTTCTATCATCACGTTGATTCGCAGGTGGCAGTGGACTGATACTGACACCCCCGACCCTGCGGAACTATGCGTGGCGATTCTCGCCAAGGGCCGGGATGTACAGTACTTTTGAAAAACATTGCGTTGCCCTGGTCCCCTCATTCTCAGTCGGGCTATCGGCTGCATCTCAGAGCTTCCTTCCGGCCGCCGCGGTAACTATATGCATGGTCCTTGCGAGATGCCAAACAACGTCTTCCAGCAGTCGGTGCATACCACCTTACCTCCATAGTAACATCCGGTATGTTCAATGCGTGTCCCGTCTTGTTCCGTTCACTGATGTTCGGCACACAGGTTCTGGTTCTCCAAGTAACGATCCCTTCACATATGGCTGAACGCGGTATAACCGTCAGACATCAAGACCTGATCTACTTCGCTTTTCAAACCCGGGAGTGCCTAGCACACTCGAGGAGAATGGGCCGTGCTGCTTCACAACTGCTAGCAGCATGATGACACCCCCCGAACGTGTGAGACAATATACCCGTATGTGTATCCGACAGCGCTTCGATGTCGGCGACTGACTCAAGGGCAGTTTAGGCCCTACGTAGACCAGCCCTTGGGCATCGGCTCTCCGTATGGGAATCTGTCTATCTTCAGCGAACAGGAAGCGACAGTCGATCTGTTCAATATGGAAACCGCAAGCATGTGCCACTGATGGCGATCGTTCCCGCAAATCGCCTTCTCCGACTCTCGATTCCGCAACTACCACCAGCAGACTAGTCTTCCAGACCAAATCGTAATTGTTCTTCTGTCGTAATGATCAGGTATCGTAGCTAATACCACTTGGGAGAAGCCGTGGCCATTGTAACTCAACCTTCTCTACACCTGTCAATGTCACGACGGACTGATGGTACGTTCTTTCATATGCGTTAATACTTCACCTCACACGAGGTTCAGGATCTATCGCTGCAATACCCAAACCACATTTTGTATGGTCAGCACAATCTGTCAGTTTTTTTAGCCATGCGCATCATTCAACTCATCCTATTGACCGCCTCAGATACCTCCTCGTGTTATCGTTAAGAGTCGCATTTGCAAGTAAGCCGCAGGCTACCGCAAATATTAGGTAAGGAACGTATTTCAAGGATTGCGCACGCGTTGCCTGACTCAGTTCCACGGCTAGATTAGGGAATGATACGGGAATGAGACCGGCATAAACCTGCGCGGCAGCTCAGTTGAATTGTGGCGCTGCACTCATATACCTGCCTATAGGCGACCGCCATGGAGTCCGGGGGTTTCTGCTCGAACCTGTAGTCCATCCTCGCCACTGGCATGAAAAATATTCTATAAGAAGGCACTAGGGTTGATGTTGATTCCTTGACCACGGCCCACAGACCGCTGATGCTATCTCCAAGACTATCTGGCGTTCCCTCCATCATAAGTCCAGCCGTTCCCTCCATCATAAGTCCAGATCTGCATCATGGCCTCGAGGTTCAATTGATTTCGCAGTCAGCCAGGCAGAGCGTCTTCATACGGATCCCGCCGACGAGTGGTGCCAGAGACCGACACCATCCAGTGATTGGTCTATCGACGAATGGCGCACCGGTGTACCCAAGTCGGTTGCCGAGAACCCACGCATCCCTGCACAATAAGGTGATCGCTTTGTACCCCACCGCTTCCTCGCTGGACAGGCTGAATGATAGCACGCCGCCCTCTGTTGCTCGGTCTCGCACTCTAAATGACCCACGTACTGGGCGCCCGAATGGCTCAAAGCAATACACGTGAAACGACGGCGCGGTCCATGTGCTGGAATTGCTGCCCGGACCCAAGGTCAATCCAGTCGGAATGACCGCGCGGCCCATATGTTGGCATTGCCGCGTTAACCATATCAAGGAGGATCAGCGCGACACGCACTGAGACCCGATAGTACAACTGCCCAGTATGTGGCCCGGATTGCTTGAGCTCACGTTTCCTAGCCCTCTGCAGAGTTCCCCAAACTGTCTGTACTTAGACTGTTGTATACATGAGAGAAGCACATACTTGGATTCCTCATTCAGCAATAGTGCGATGGGCTCGTTGGACGAATCTTGATGCCTCGTGCCGTCCTCAGGAACTCGATTTTCCTAGTCGCCATCCTTTGTCCTCATGCTGCGCATCGAACCATCATGTGGCAACGTCGGTGCTCTCGTTCTTGTCGATCCATCGAGCCCAACTGCATGTCTTCCTATGTAAATGCATAAACAGTCATATGCACCATACTCAGTTGTCCCTTTGTGAATCCACACGAGCGGTATTTTGGTACACAAATATGTGTCCTTGAGCCGCTCTGTAGTGTCAGATCACGAACAATCAACCTCTTCTCTGCAAGCAGAGCTGGGTCACGAAAGGTGAGGTTTGTGCATGGTCTACCTGTCACAGTTTCCCTAATTTTACCTACTTTTTCCGCTATTTCTGCGGACATATTGAAGGGTCTAGGGACTTATACATACTTATCCGTCCGCATATGGGTACATCTGCATATCTAAGCGGTTATCCGCTTAAATAAGCGACACTGTTCTAGACACATCAGGCTGGACTCTGATGCCGGACCTTTTCTAGATAGAACCCAGACTCTGTCTGGACCATGACATCATTCTGACATAATAGGTAGGAGCTAGGCTCAGGCACTAGGCCATAGGCCAGTCATTTCTAGACCCTAGGCCTAGGGCAGGGCAGAGCCAGACTATGACATCATCAATAGCGCTATATTGCACCATAGGGCACATGATACTTAGTAATCCTTACTTGGCTAGGTATCAGGGGTTCATTACCGGTCCCTGGGGGGGTTTCCCTCATGTATATAAGGTAGCATCCTGGGGCACCCTGTCCCCCAGTTTTATTCACTTCGTTGTTGCGCTTAACAGCATTACCTCCCCCACACTTAAGTCTATTATCTCCCCCCCTCAATATCAAGGATGTAAGGTGGGTTTGTAGGTTTTGTAATACTACCACTACTTAGTCATCTCATCTGTAGGCTCTTAAGTTTATACTTGAGGGTCTGCTGGAGTTTAGAGCATGCCTAAAATGAAGCCCCAGGGTCTGCTGAAGCCAAATGAGATCCCTGAGCACCTGTGGCAGGTCATCACCATTGATATGATTATTGGCTTGCCGAAGTTTGATGGATTCAACTCGATCCTAGTCACCGCCGACTGCTTTACCAAGCAGGTCCACTTCTCGGCCTGTCATGAGACCTTGACGGCAGAAGGCATGGCAGACCTGTACATCCGCAATGTGTTCAAACATCATGGGGCACCGGCCAAGGTCATCTTAGACCATGGCCCCCAGTTCACATCAAAATATCTCCATGCTGTTGCGACTTAGGGTCAAGCGACAGGGGAAAACCAAACAAAAGTGCTAGGGGTGTTTGACTGGTTCTTACTGAAGCAATGGTGAGCAAGGCTCAAACCTAAGGCTAGGGACAAGAAATGTATTAGTTAGTGAAGGTAAGTAAAGGATACAAAGGAGCTTACTGACCTAGGGACAAGAGGTCAAAACTGAGGTCCCTAGGGCAGCAGAGGCCGGCTTATATACAGGGAGAGATAAGGGCAGGCTGTGCGCACTGGTCCGTGCATAGCTGGTCCGTGCACAGCATGCTGACACGGCCCCGGGGGCCAGTGAGTCAGAGCGGCTGTGTCAGTGGAGCCCGAGCTGTGCCGCGCACTGCCGTTCCATCTAATCTAATTGTACAGTAGATAACGACTTGTTCGTTCGAGCGTGTAGTACAGAGGTCGTGGGTTTGAGCCCGCGGAAAGGAAAAAATTAAAAAATGGCTAGACGCCGTACCAACTCGTGACATTACCCCCCCCCTCAACGGCGCATGACCTCATGCGAGGCCCCCTGGCCCATCTCCCACCCGGAGCGGCAGCGTGCTTCAGTCAGCGGCGAAGGCATTGGCCGGAAGTTGAGACCACCAAAGGTAGCAGCATTGAGGCGGCGAGGGGCATTCGGGTTCTTCCGGTGAAAGTCGGCTATGAGGGCCGGCGCATTGGCAACATTGCGCGCTGGTTCCCATGACGTATGCGAGTCGTCATAACCCTTCCACTTGACGAGGTACTGCAGTTGACGCCGGGAGATCCTCGAATCCTTGATCCACTCAACCTTGTACTCCTCGTCGCCCTCAACCTCAATGGCAGGCGGCTCTTCCGGCTCCCGGCCTGGGATCTCGCCACACGTGTACTTGCTAAGCAAGGAGACATGAAACACCGGGTGCACAGGCACCGACTTCGGCAGAACCAATTCGTAGTCTAAGTCTCCGAGCTTTCGCTGCACGGCATATGGCCCAAGGCGCTTGGGACTGAGCTTCTTGCTCGGCTGTTTCAGCCTAAGGTTCCGGGCATCAAGCCAGACCTTGTCCCCCGGCGCGAAGACCAGTGCCTCTTGCACGTGCTTATCGTAGTACACCTTCATATGCTCAGCTGATAGCTCAAGCGCGGAGCGCGCGTCATCCCTGATCTCCTTCAGGATTTTAAGCCGATCAGCGGCTGCGGGCATTGCGGACATCAGATTGATCCGCACTTGGATCTCAGGATGGTACCCTTGATGCAGGAAGAAAGGGGAGTGCCCTGTTGTGGAGTGAACTCAGTTGTTTAGCGCAAACTCCGCAAGTGGCAATTGCTTCGCCCAATCATCCTGCCTATGGCTTGTGAAGACACGCAGGTACTAATCTATCTCCTGATTCCAGCACTCAGTCTGGCCATCAGTTTGAGGATGGAACACTGTGGACAGTGCCGGTTCGATCCCGAGTCCCTTGTACACTGCATGGAGATACTTCGATGCGAACTGGGGACCTCGGTCTGAGATGACCTTGGCTGGGGCCCCATGATGTTTGAACACATCGCGGATGTACAGGTCTGCCGCACCTTCTGCCATCAGGGTATCATGACAGGCCGAGAAGTGGACCTGCTTGGTAAAGCGGTCGGCGATAACCAGGATCGAGTCGAACCCATCAGATTTCGGCAGGCCAACAATCATATCTGTGGTGATGATCTGCCACAGGGATCTCGTTCGGCTTCAGCGGACCCTGGGGCTTGGCTGGGAATGTCTTGGTACGGTTGCACACGTCGCAGGTGCTTACGTACTTGTTGACAAACTTGGACATTCCAGGCCACCAGTAGTTCCACGATATGAGCTCGAGGGTTTTGGCACGACCACCATGTCCGGCGATCGGCAAGTCGTGGTGGATTTTGACAATATCCCGCCGGAGCTCCGCATTCTTGGGGACATAGACCAGTCCGCGGAACAACAGACGCCCTTGCTCAGCATTCCACTCCTCAAAGCCCTTCTGCAGCCAAGGCGGCCCGAGGTTCTGCACCTTTTCAAGTGCCTCGGCCACAACCCGATCCTTATCCGAACATTCCCTGATGCATTTCAGGAGCGACTGATCAGCTGTCACCAAGGCATGCCCACGCTGGGTAGCGGCGATGCGGAAGTGTTCCTGTTTGAGAACCACCTGATCGGTGTTATCGTCCTCATTGCCGACCTGATGGTCTGATCGGCGTGACAGGGCATCAGCTTTTCCATTCGATGTTCCGGCTTTGTGCGTGATGGGAAAATTGAAGCGTGCCAGGAACAGTGACCATCGTGCTTGACGACGCATGAGGTGCTGTGACATGCGCCAGTACTCGAGGTTTTTGTGATCGGTGACGATCTCGAACTGATTGGGCAATCCCTCGAGATAATGGCGCCAATCGTTCAGCGCTTCGATGATCGCAAGCATCTCTTTATCGTAGATCTCATAGTTACGCTGGGCAGGGTCCATAGCGTGAGATCAGAAGGCGATGGGATGCCATTTGCCATCGTCCTGCTTCTGCATCAATACGCCACCAGTGGCGTAGCCCGAGGCATCAACCTCAATGCATGTCTCTCAATTAGGGTCATACAATGCCAAGACCGGAGTTGATACAATGGTCTATACTCCTATGTCGATGCCTGACTTGTAGACGACGAGCGAGGACTTATGGACAGTGCGTCGTCCTGAAGATCGAGCAAGGAAGTCGAGAATGACCACTACCCCAAGTGAGGAGGAGCAGAGACTTGAATGAATAACCAGGTCGAACTTAGGGTTCGACTGACTAATGGTACAACTACTTATACAAGTACCGACTGCGCACGGACCATCGTGTCTATGTGGTCGTGTTAGTGAAGAAAGAAACATAGTGGTACGATGCCGAGTACGAAGTGCGCACGGACCCCATTATGTAAGCTACATAATGTTCAACCTGCGGGTGAGCGCTAAGACAGGCGCCAGTATGGGCGCTAGTAGTACAAGGAATAGAATGGAAAGACAAATGTTTCATTACCCCCCTGCCAGAGTCGAAGTCCCATTCGACTACTTACTGCTCACCATCCCCATACAACTCCCAATCTACGCCGTCATCCTCCTCTTCATCGAACCACTCCTTGCGCGTGTCCCTCCCTACATTCATCCATTCCTCGCCAGAGAGGTGCTTCTGATGCGGCCAGAAGCTGTCCCACGTCCATTGAGTGGTGTCGGGTGTCCAGTCGGGGTCGACTTTGCGAAAGACGACGGGTGTATCGGGGCGGGGGCGCGAGGGTCCTGCGATGGGACTGGTTGGGGGTTCGGGGTTAGCGCTGCGTGGTGGAGGAATAGGTACCGCTTTCGTCTGCCTCTCTTTCTCCTTCCTCTCCTTCGCCTCGTTGATGATTTCCTTGAGGAACACGTTGTCGACGACCACCCCCACGCGTCGCGCAGGTTCTTCAGGTGGTGCGGATACATGTCGCTTCATTGGCCTGGTTCCGCACTCTCGCTCCAGGTGTCCAGGGGCTTCTTTTCCGCATCCTGCGCATCGTACGTCCGGACAGTCCCGTACCCAGTGTCGAGATGATCCGCATCGCCTGCAGCTTCCCTTCGGGGTCCAACCAGGGTTGGGTTGCCAGTCAGCCGGGATGGTAGTGCTCCGCGGCGTTGCTTGGAGGAAAGGGGATGGGATCGGGGGGCGCCTGAAGGCAGATGTCGGTAGGGGTGCGGGTAGGGGTAAGTACGCGTTGGGGATGACACGCGGGATGAATTTGTTGTGTTGCGCCCGGATGCTGCGCGGTAGGAGCGGTTGAAAGCGATGGGCAACTTTCAGATTGTCGAGTCGGATGAGCTCGGTGAGGACACGGTCGTCCTGTTGACGTAGGAGTCGCTTGTGATGGTCGATGGCCTCGTCGGCTGCCTTGACAGCCTCGTCGTATTCATGGTGAGCGGAGAGGTACACTTCTAGTGCAGTGCGATCGGTGGCATTGGTTGCCTCAGGGTTGTGGGTTTTGAGTTTATTGAAGACGTCGGTGGGGTTACTGAGGAGTAGCATCAGCAAAGCGCTGTCGCTGACGTGGGTGTGCTTAGGGGTGTAGATTGAGATTCTCTTCCCGCCTTCGGTTGAAGGGGCGTTGAATTGGTCGAGGAACGGGAGGGTGGAAGACATGTTGATGCGAGTGGGGATGTAGCGACTGGGTAGAGCTGCTATCGTTTCAGCTCAGGTCCTTCCTGTTCTTATACTCCGTCAACACTTCATCTGCCGTCCCTGTCAGGTTTGCTTCGGGCTCCCATGAGTCATCCGTAGTTGAGTAACCCTTCCACCTGACATGATATTCGTGGCGTCACATCCTTTTGTTCTCCCGGTGTCCGATGATGGCTTCGACTTCGTAGTTATCTTTGCCCTCGATAAGGTCAGGAGGTGGCCTCGTGTAGTTCGGACCATGGATCTCCGTTTCTGAGTAGGGAGATAGAAGCCACTCGTGGAAAACGGGGTGGACTCGCCAGGTGCTAGGGAGGTCTAGCTTGTATGTGACCGTTCCGATCTTGTCTAGGATTTTGAACGGCCCCTCTCACCTCAGGGCTAGTTTCCTGGATGGGTACGGCAGCTTCAAGTTCCGGGAGTCTAGCCATACCAGCTGACCTTTACGGAAGGAACCCCCCTTCCTTTTTACTCTCTTGGCCAGGACGTTCTGGGCCATCTCCATTGCCACATGTGCTTCCTCACGGATGTTTTGCAAGTCCTTGAGGCGATAAGCTGCTTGCGGCGTGTTTGATCCGGGGTGCGCGGTGGGTATTCCGCGAGGTTCGTATCCCATCATGAGTTTGAATGGGGACGTCTTCGTCATGGAATGCTTGCGGGAGTTGTGAGCAAATTGCGCAGTATGAAGATGGTCTGCCCACTTATCCGGATCATTGGCAGTGAAGCAGCGGAGGTAGATCTCCAGCTCTTGGTTTACTCATTCTGTCTCACCGTCGGTTTGCGGATGGAATGCCGTACTCATGGCTGATTGAACCCCAGTCATTTTGCAAAGTTCCAGGAAGACTTTGGACGCAAATTGCGGTCCTCGGTCACTGATGATCTTGTCTGGGAGTCCAAACCACTTGTAGACCTCTTGGTACATTGTGTCTGCCGTCCCAAGAGCATCAATTGTTTTGTTGCATGGGATGAAAATTACCCCCTTCGTAAGGTCGTGGTCCACTACGACCAAAATTGAATCAAAGCCGTTGGACGGTGGCAAGTCGGTGATGTAATCGCACGAGAATGTGCTGAAGGGTTTGGCATTTGCGCGGGGTCGAATGGGGGTGATGGGCGGACGGGCTGGATGCGTGTTAACCTTCATTTGCTGGCAGATGCCACAGCCGTTAACATAGTGAGCAACAAACTGGGCCATGCTCAGCCACCAGTAGTCACGGCGCAAGCCAAGGAGGGTTTTCTGAACACCGGGGTGTCCTGTGGAGGGGAGGTCGTGATAGTGGGAGATGAGACATTTGCGAAGAGACTCATCTGGGGGTACATAGACCCGATCCTGGTATAGGAGGAGGTCATCATCGATGGACCAGTCTGTTCCAGTGCGTGGTGTTCCTCCAGTGCGCGCCGTAGTGAGGCCTTCCTTCATTATTGGGTCGTCCTTAAAGGAAAGGATGGTGTTGCGGGTGTCGATGTCGATGGCAGCGACCCATACTTCCGGTGAGAGCATAATGACGTCGGTGTTGTCATTTGAGCCGTCGTCATGGTTGGGTCGGCGGGAGAGAGCGTCGCTCTGCACCATTTGGGTATCAGGAACGTGTACCAGGTGGAAGTCAAACTCGGTCAGTTTACTCGCCCAGTGTGCTTGTCGTCAGTTCATGTCTTTGGCCTGCTTCCAGTATGTGAGATTCTTGTGGTCACTGAGAATCATTACTGGGTATGGGCTGCCAATGAGGTAGTGCCTCCACTCATCTAGTGCACGGATCACCACATATAGTTCCCTGTTGTAGATGTCGTAGTTTCTCTCTGCTGCATTGAAGCTTTGAGAGAGGTATCCGCAAGGATGCCAGTCGCCATTGTCATCGCGTTGGCGTAGTACCACTCCCGTTGCAAACTTGGAGGCGTTGGTTTCGATAGTGAAGTGTCAGTCGGGATCCGGCATGCGTAGTACCAGTTCTTCTAGGAACACCTTTTTGAGGGTCTCGAAGGCTTTCTGTTGGTCAGATCCCCAATGTCCTTCCGGGTGAGAGCGACCAGCGGTTGTGCTTTGTCCGAGAAGCCTTTGATAAACCGGCGGTAAAAGTTTCCAAATCCAACAAAGGCACGTACTTGCCTGAGGTTGGACGGCACCGGCCAGTCTGCAATGCCAGCTAGTTTGACAGGGTCCATTGCGATTTCTCCTGGGCGGATAATCATGCCAAGGAATTCGACTTCGGTGATGTCGAAGACACATTTCTCCGCTTTGAGGTAGAGGTCATGTTGTCAAAGTCGTTCAATAACACGTCATGTTCGTTCCTCGTGTTCTGCCTTGTCCTGGGAAAAGATCAGGATGTCATCCATGTAGATGCAGAGCCAGCCTTCTTGACGCATGTCTGCGAATATTGTGTTCATCATCCGCTGGAACGTAGCGGGAGAATTACACAGCCCAAAGAACATCACCGTTGGTTCGTACAGCTGCGGCGGTTTGCCATCAGTTCCGGGTACGATGAACGCTGCCTTCCATTCGTCCCCTTTCTTAATTCGGACATTGTTGTATCCGGCGCGGAGGTCCATCTTGGTGAACACCTTGGCGTGCTTCAACTTGTCGAGGAGGTCCGATATAAGCGGGAGCGGGTATCGATCCTTGACCGTGTTCTCGTTGAGCAGCCAGTAGTCTTGGCAGGGGCGTAGTGAACCGTCCTTTTTACCAACAAAGAAGAATGGTCTCGCCAAAGGGGGTTTCGAAGGGCGAATGTACCCTTTACTCAGGTTCTCCTCAAGGAACTTGTCGAGTTCCTTTCGTTGCTGCGGGTTGAGCGGATAGACCTGTTGCTTCATGTCCGCGAAGCCCTCCTTGAGGTTGATTTCGTGGTCATATTCGGTGTGGTCTGGAAGTCGCGCAGCCGTGGCTTTGTCGAAGATGGGGAGGAGATCGTGTAGGTAGGAAGGTACCATCTGTGGTAGCGTTTTTTCTGTCTTGCCTTGGGCGTTCGAGGCTGCAAGTTCGGTGGAAGTGGTGACGCGCCTAATGTTGTGGTGGATCTTCCAAATCATGCCGTTGTGAAGTCGTTTGTAGCCAGATGAAAGTTCAGGGAGTCGCTCCTTGAGCAGAACATCCCTTACTGCCAGGGATTTCTGTTTTTCGTACTTGGTGATCATCGGTGTTCCTGATAAGTAGAAAATGATGAACTCATCGTCGTCGATGTCCTCCGCTTGTTCTTCGATGGACGCAATACCTGTTGACCCAAACCCATCCTCCCCGTGTTCCGTTTCATTGATGCGGTTGGTTAGTGTTACTGGTGGGGTGCTTATCTTTTCAAGGATGAGCTGAGCAACTCGGTCACCGGCTTTGACGGTGAACGGGAGCTCGGAGTTGTTGACCAGCAGGACTGAGACCTTGCCTCGGTAATCGGAGTCGATTACTCCTGCAGCGACATCGGTTTCCTTTAGTGCTAGACCAGACCGAGGTGCGATTCTTCCGTAGTGTCCTTTGGGGATAGCCATGATAAGATCGGTGCCAACCAGGCCTCGTCGCCGGGCAGGGATGGTAAGTTGATGCGCAGCAGAGATGTCATATCCTGCTGCGCCGCTAGTCTTTCATTCGGGAAGGGTTGCATGCTCCGAGGTGGAGATGACGACGAATTCGTCCTCCATTGGTTCTGGGAGTGGGGTAGTTATGGCCTTCTTTAGTTCTAGCTGAGCCACTCATCTTTGGTACAGGTCCATCTTCCAGGCCCTGGTTTCGTCTTTTGTCCATCGGTGGTTTAGCTCAACTCATCCCATTTTCCAGTCTATCTTGGGGTTTTCGAGCTTGAGCCAGGTATGGCCGAAGATGATGTCTTCCTTGCCAATGCTGGCGACGTAGGCTTTGACAAATCCGGGTTCTCCGCTTATCTTGTAAGATAAGAGAGCTCTTTGCGTAATAAGTGCTTCTTTGTTCGGAGTTCCGTCCATGTTGAAGACGGGGATGGGTTGGAAAAGAGGTTCTGTCCGAAGTCGATGTTCTTAAACAAATCTTGGACTGATGAAGATTCCAGTTGCGCCGCTATTGATGAAAGCGCGCGCCTCGACGTCTTTTCGTCCCACAGTAATCGGAATGTGCAGAGCGCGTTCATTTCGGACTACTAGAATTACATGGGACAGTGAAATGGATACGGGCAGTGGTTGCGTCGGCTCACCCTGCCCCTTCAAAAATCCTCCATAGTGAGTTCTTCATACAACTTGTCACGAGTTGGCACGGCGTCTAGCCGTTTTTTAATTTTTCCTTTTCGCGGGCTTGAACCTGCGACCTCTGTACTACACACTCGAACGGACAAGTCGTTATCTACTGTACGATTAGATTAGATGGGACGGCAGTGCACGGCACAGCTCGGGCTCCACTGACACAGCCGCTCTGACTCACCGGCCCCCGGGGCCGCGTCAGCATGCTGTGCACGGACCAGCTACGCACAGCCTGCCCTTATCTCTCCCTGTATATAAGCCGGCCTCTGCTGCCCTAGGGACCTCAGTTTCGACCTTTTGTCCCTAGGTCAGTAAGCTCCTGTATTCTCTTACTTACCTTACACTAACTAATACATTTCTTGTCCCTAGCCTTAGGTTTGAGCGTTGCTCACCATCGCTTCGGTAAGACTCAGTCAAACGCCCCCAGCCTCTAGGTTTGTTCTTCCCCTGTCACTCGACCTCAAGTCGCGACATTAGGTCGAAACTCCCCCTCGCTGCCGGCGTTCACAAAATGCAACTCTTACACTCACTTTCCTCTCCCAAAGGTCGGGTGGTGCGCACCCCTACTATACACTACGATACGTAGATAGGTGTACTATACATCGCCACCACTAAGGGAACGAACTTTTCAGTACCTGCACTTCAGTGGGCGGTACTTGTCCTCACGGACGCGTGGCTTAGGTTCCTGCTGCATACTAGCCAAAAGCAGTACTGGGCCCCACGTGAATTGCGAACCCTAGTGTTACCTCGGGCGCCGTAGGTGTAAGCTAGCTTATACGGCCTTTCGTAGCACGCACACCTCCCCTTCCTCCCTCCCATCGTGGCTGTGTGTCAGGGCTTTGTTCACGCCTTCGACTCCAAGGACCTCCTCGACGTCTACCTCACTGACGGTCCTTCTGCTCTCATCTTCGGCTGCGAGCAACAACCATGTCCCAATCGCACGCCTCGATCGATCGAGCAAGATTACGAGCGCTATAAGGCCATCAGAAGGGCCCAACATCCACTCGGTCCCCGCAGCACCCACGCATCTCGATCTGCGTCCCGACACTCCCGCGCTGTCTCCCCCAGCTCTCACCTTCCCCAAACTGTCGCCGGTCCAAGTCAAGCGCGAGGAGATCTCCCTCCAGATCCTGCACCAGAGCCTGAGCCTGAAGAGAGTGCGAGTGAAGAAGGAGTCTCGGAGTCCGAGTCCGCGGATTCTGCTCGGTCCGCCCTGCTGACAGCACTCGCCCCCGCGTCAGCAGTCTCTGACATACGTGACCCCTCCTCTGGGCTTCCTCCAGCGCCTTCACCGCCGTCGCCGCCGTGAGGCCGCTCGCGCACTCGCTCCCCTCGAAGTCCGACCAGCGGAGGGACACCACAGCCGCCTCCACCCCCGCGCCGTCCTCCGTCCCCCCCGCCGCCGATAATGTCCTCTCCCTCGACCGCCCCCGACAAGGAGACCCTGAAGCTCCTCCTTGTCGCGACTTAGGGTCAAGTGACTGGGGAAACACAGACAAAGGACGCTGGGGGCGTTCGACTGGGTCTTATCGAAGCGATGGTGAGCTTATGCTCAAACCTAAGGCTAGGGATAAGATAATATATTAGTGAAGTAAGAAAAGGAATACAAGGGATGCTTACTGACCTAGGGACAAGAGGTCGAAACTGAGGTCCCTAGGGCAGCAGAGGCCGGCTTATATACAGGGGAAGTTTAGGGGAGGCTGTGCGCACTGGTCCGTGCACAGCTGGTCTGTGCGCAGCATGCTGACGCGGCCCCGGGGGGCGGTGAGTCAGAGAGGCTGTGTCAGCGGAGCCCGAGCTGTGCCGTGCACTGCCGCCCATCTAATCTAATCGTACAGTAGATAGTGATGCGTCCATATCAGGCATGTAGTACAGAGGTCGCGGGTTCAAGCCCACGAAAGGGAAAAATTAAAAAATGGCTAGACGCCGTACCAACTCATGACACAGGTAGCGACAAGCGCCCCTGCCCCTTCATCCTTGGCAAATATAAGTGCTGTTTCAGCGAAGTCCGAGCAATCGGAGCTGGTGGACTTAATGGCACAGGTGAAGTCGATGCGCAAGGAGCTCGAGCATTATCGGGCAATGAAGGAGGAGTCTTTTTGATCCGGTCCACGCTTCGTGCCGCACGCGTCGGACCTCGTAATAATAATTTGTACAATGTATTGGCGACCACGAATGTTTACGAGTTGGACCATGGGTCCCAGCACTTCCACATCCCGGTGCGCCTCAAGGGAGAAAGACGGCACAAGGATATAATCGCAATGGTGGACAGCGGAGCCACCACGAAGTTCATCAACAAACATTTCATCACGGCGAATTGAGTACGGACGCGGAAATTGAAGGAACCCATTCTGCTTTACAACATTGATGAAACACTCAAGTTTGACCAAAAGCTGCGCTCAGCCGCAATCTTTCCTGAGCGGGTATATAAGTGCAACGACACAGTGCAACTGAGCTGCCGGCAAGATGGTGCTGTTCCCATTCTCGTAGCATACCCGATCTAGCTGTCAAACTGAATGAGGAGACGCGTGTGTAACCCAATAGATGCATATCTTACCTGATCTCTGCTGCCATCGACGACTGAATTACAGATGCGATTGCTGATGACGACACGAGGAGGTATCTGAGGTGGCTGTCAGGATGAGTCGAGTGATGCGCATGGCGAGGAGTCACGGACGGATTGTTCTGACTGTATAACACGTGGTTTGGGTATCACAGCAACAAGTCCTGAGCCTCGTATGAGATGGAGTACCAGATGCATATGAGAGAACGTACCATCAGTCAGTGGTGGAATTGACGGGTGCTTCGAACGCGAAGCTGGAGAAAACATCGCCTGTCGTTTTGTGAGATACTTCGAACCTCTTCGATGAGTAGCGCCACTTACGAAGGCAGGCCACAGTGGCCACCATTCTGCGAAGCGGTACCAGCTACCGTGTCTGGTCACTACAACAGACAACGTGATTACAAGTCTGTCTGAAGACTAATAGAGAGTCGGAGAAGATGAATTGCAGGAGCGATCAGGGTCGATGATCCCACATGCTTGCAGTTTCCATAATAGACGGGACGACTGCCGCTTCCCGCTTGCTGAAGGGCAAGCCGACGCCGAAGGGGTGGTCTACGTAGGGTTCCAAAATGCCTTTCGATCAGTCACCGACATCCAATTGCTGCCGTATGCACATACGGGTATATTGTATCAAGACATCGCGTTGTATGTCGTCAGGCTGCTAGCAGTTGGGATGCAGCACGGCACATTCTCCTCGTGCATGCCAGGTATGCCCGGGTTTCAGAAGCGAAGTAAGGCAAATCTTGACGTCTGAAAGTGACACCTCGTTCAGCTATGTTGAGGCAACCGTAACTTGAAGATGCAGAAATTGTGTGCCAAATATCAGTCAACGGAACATGATGAACGCAGGTTCAACATACCATGTTTTCATCGTCAGTAAGGTGGCATGCACCGACGCTTGGTGGACGCCGCGTGCCATCTCACACATCATTCGCGACGGCAAGTCGACGGAGTTCTCTAGCAAAGGACGTTCTCCAGCAGGCTATTCTGGACATGCAAGGCCTGACGGACATGTGCAAACCGTGGCAACATAAAGTGCAGGGCTCAACGTCAAAACTTGGGACCGCGTCTGTATAGCATTTCAGTTGGAATAAGGAACGTCAGTCAAACATTCGCCTGCAAATGTGGCAGAGAGCGTACCTCGAGAAATGATCTTCCAGCAACAAAAGATCTTGCACAACAGGCTGTACATTGCCAGCTTCCTCCTGTCGATAAGCGAGCATCTCTGCGTCCTTAGGTTCCGCAGGCGGTCCCATCGTCCACTCGTCTCGAGCTTGATCGCAATTTAGACACCACTGACGAATACTGGCTTCCAGTTGCGCATATTTCTCAACAGTGTAGGCCTGTGTGCCCACGCGGGTGTCGCCAGAACGTTTCCTCTTCATCCCTGAGACTATTGGCCGAAATCGTCGAGGAAAGCGGACAGTGTCATCATCCAACAGGGGAGAACAATATTGCTTCTTGAAGCTGCGGAAAGAATCATCAGGACAGGCTGAGAGCTCGCCGGTTGACCACAACCGCCTGCCGGGTACCATCTCGTAAGACAGGGGGTCAGTCCACGACAGATACCGCCAAACTATGCTGTATGCATAATTGACCTCCTTGTGGGGCAGTAGACCCCGCAAGACATGCTGGTAGTGCAGCGGTCGCTTGCTCAATTTCTGACCCGCCCGAAATATCGTCAGACGAAGATTGGCTTTCAGCTCGAGCCACCCGAGCGACCGATATGAGCAAGGAGCCGTCATGACGGAAGGTGTGATAGAGTGACCCATGGTCGTGCATGAGTCTGGAAGATGCTCGTCCTCTGCGATGATGCAATACTTGTAGGCCTGCGTCACCATAAGCATGCGATTAGCCAAGAGCGCATACAATACATACAGTGCCATACTGAAGTGGACTCTTCAAATGATCAGGATGGGGTATTATCAACAAGCGATTCGTTTCCCAAAGTTCTCGGAGGTCGCGTCGGACTGCATGCGGTATGTGAGGCGACAAATGTCGTGTAGATCAATAGAAGATACGCACGGAATATGATATTTGCAGGCATGTGGCAACGGAGGGCGTTGTAGTCGGTACGCATGTTGCGCGTAATGCAGTCAATCTTCCGGTTCACCTTGTCAGCCACAAAGCCGAAATGATAGTTGTACCTACTCACCAATAGTTGAGGCATATCGGGAGGCAAAATATAGCACGCCTCCACATCAGCAGATACGCACCCAGTAATCATGCACCTCGGGTGAGGTCCGAAAGGAACGCCGGACTCGGCCTTGGATGCCTCGCTTATGAGGACCGACATTCGTATTTTCTTGGCAGGGAGTTCATCAGTCTTTGTGTCCGCACTCCGTTTCCGCTTCGGCAGGCGGGGGATGCCTTCGACTGGCGACTCTCGTTCATTGTGGGGGAAGACCGGCTTGACTGCATCTAGGTGGGCTAGCCTGATTACGGGTATATGCGCAAGAGCGTCCACGTGTAACACATGCTCGTAGTGGAGCGGTCGCTTGATAAATTCACGACCCACTCGAATTGTCATCAGATGCAGATTGGCACTCAGCTCGTGCCACCCAAGCGAGCGATACGAGCAAGCAGCGGCAGTAACTAAAGGTAAAATGGTATAATCCTGAGGGGTACCCGAGTCCAGAGGGTGCTCATCCTCTGCAATGACGTGGTATGTGTAGACCTACTCGATTGTGAGCACGGCGCCCATCTGAAAGGGCGTACCATACATACAGGGCGGGTATCGGGGTGGTCTATATGATCGGGATGGGGTATCATCAACAGGTGATTCGTTTCCCATAGTATACGGAGGTCACGTCGAACTGCATGCAGTTTGTAAGACAAGGTAAAACATGCTAGATAGGAGCAAGTACGCACGAAATATGATATTTTCAGGCGTGCTACAATGGACGGCATTAGAGTCAACGGGCATACGGAGCATCGTGCAGTCGCTCTACAAAGCTGCCTTGTCAGCTACGAAGTCGAGGCAGTAACCACTCTACTCACTAACGGCCGAGGCGGGTTGGGGGGCAGGATATAGCACGCCTCCACCTCCGCAGACACGCAGCCCGTGATCATACACCTAAGGTGAGGTCCATAAGGACCCCCATCTGTGAGCTTTGACGCGTTGCTCAGGCTGTCAGACAACCGCCTTCTCTTAACACCGACCTCGTCGGCCGTCGTGTTTGCACACCGTTTTCGCTTCGGCGGGCGAGTGATGGCTTCAAGTTGTATGTCAATACCGGGGGCGACCGAGGGATTCGCGTCCGATTCGACAACCCTGATATTGGTGCAGTCATGGATTGGTATATGCCCAAGACCGAAACAAGCGCGGTCCTCGACCTTGGTTGCGTCGTTCAAAGTGCCAGACGTCCGCGCCCTCTTCGCGCGAACGTCATAGGTGCTTGTGTCCGCACTTCGCTTCCGTTTCAATGGACGGGAGACGTATTCTAGTGACGGGTCCACTGCATCTGGCTTGACGTCCCCGACACTTGTGCAGTCGCCGATGCATATATGCTCAAGACCGAAGGAAGCGCCGTCATCCGCCTTGTTCACGTCGTTTGAGGTATCAGGCGGCAGCGGTCTCTCTGCGAGAACTTCATCAGCCCTTGTGTCCACCAACCGTCTCCGTTTCAGCGGAGGGGTGATGTCTTCTGGTAGCGGGGAGTCCGCGTCTGATTCGACAATCCTGATGTCCGTGCCTTCGCCAACATATGCATGCTTAGAATAATCATCAAAAGAGATAGATGGTGCACGACTGACTCCAGAAGTGGGTGTAGCGGGTGGAGAGCTTTCGCGTGAAAAGGAGCTACCAGTGTCGTCCGAAAGCGCGGGAGTACTTATATCGCGTGGGGGCTGCTCAGCAGCGAGCGTATGGGACGTGTCAGGAATAAGGATGTAAAGGCCATTCATTTGTGGACCGTATCGCGAGTTCAGCGAGGTAGTAACGATGGTGTAGCGCGAATAGCGTGCGCCACCAGTGCCCTTAGCGGGTGCTTAGTCAGCGCTACTCTCGGAGATCGCCGACACCAATCACGTCTTGACTGGTCGATTGAGTGTACAGTCAGTCAATCAATCCTCAGTACTCTAGGCGGACACCATTTGTATGTAGTTCAATATGTCCTTGTGAGACGCGGGGAAACACAACGAAACCAGCATTTCCGACTGCGTTCATGCCGGAATGGATTCCAGGTCGCTTGTGTGAGCAGTCGGCGTTGCAGGTCAGGGTCATTCGTTATGACGTTTGAATCTGATTTTTACTTCAGAGATGCTCACATTGGACTCCTGCATAGATGTAGCTCCATGCTCCTCAAGTACAATTGCATCGTGCTATCTTCTGATATAGACGACTCCTCAGTACCTTGGGCAGAAATCCTCGCGGACAGTGCGTCGATAACGACTCACTCATTGACAGTGTGAGAAAATTCGTATCTGAGCAGGATGCGTCTGTATCTGTTTAATAATGCTTGCAAGTTTGACATCATGTGGGTCCAAGCCTTCTACATACTTGAGCCAGCGTTAGAGATGCTCGTAGCGTCTTGCAGACACGGGGGTGTGCCGTGTCAATCCCAGCTTTCTTTTGCAATATCTCAATGAGTCAACGGTTGTAGCTTTGTCGTCGATGTTATGATCTACTCCTTTCTGAGCAGTCCGTTCATTGACACCCGGTTCGTCATTTTGCGGCGAGAACGCAGATGTTTCACCTGACAATCCTTCGCGCAAGTCAAGTCGTTCAACATGTCCTAGGTGAGTTTCGTGCCTTTGAGTCGAGCGGTTCCGAATTAGCAAATGACAAGCGTGCTTCCATATGCGACCGTAACAGTGTGTCTCTCCGATCAGCTCCCGCGCCTCAGACGGTGCATCTGATATCACAATTACAAGGTCTCACCTCGCACAGACCATGCATATTAGGTAATATGCGCGAGGTCGCCAGTCACTGACCCGCGTCGACGATGGCCACAAGAACCAAATTGGAATACAATGGCCTCTGTTGCCTGTGGTCACGCGCTTCACAACATAATATGAACTCAGCCAAAGCCGCTCGAGCCACTTACACTCTCCGTCTCTTTCTTCACCTCCAACCTCCACTTCATCACCCGCAAATGCCCTGGCAATGGTTGACGGCGTCAAACCGAGACGATCTAACAGACTGAAACATTTGCCGAAAGGTATGGGTCCTCGTCGTTACCGTTGACGGGTTTGCCCTGACGGTGGCCCGGCCACAGTTGATTACTGCGAGAACAGGACGGCGGATGGGAAACGGAAAAGGGGAGCATTAGACGAAGAAGACGAATATACGCCGTCCCGGGAAGGTACGCCGGAGAATCAGAAGATTCCAACACGCGCGCCGGAGATTCAGAGGAGTCCATCACGGAGAGTGAGACGCAAGACCGCCATTACAAGGAGTTCACGACAGCGCGCCGTCGATGCGTCTCAGAATGAGGGTGCCTGCATCATATCAGGCATAAAAGACAAATCCGTGCAACAATGCCATGTGTTGCCACGGGCCACAAAGCCGGATGTGGTAAGCTCAAGTGGCTCTTGAGCGCAGGCGGTGTATCTGACGATGTATATACACACATACATAGCTCACGCCTCTGGAGTGGTGGTGGGACATCAAAGAGCTCAGCGTGGATTCACGCCACAATCAGGTCTTCCGTGCGTCTTCTTTCCAGCAGGCATGCCGATACGCGTGGGCTTACTTGCATACAGTCCGTGCCGATCTCCATGCCTTGTGGGATCGTGGATACATTGCGATCATGCCAATGCCTGACGTGACGAAGGAATATCTGGCCAAGTGGAAGGATGGTGGCAGGCACAAGGTTCTGGAGGTGAGTCGCTGCAGCCTGATAATCAACGACTGATGCGAGTCGTCGCCACGATGCGTATCTCACCCAGACCTTGACAACTCTCAGATCCGCGAAGGGTTCACCTACGGATTCGACAAGGTTGGGATCATCCGGTCCCATGCGAAGCCGCACTTCATGGCCTTGAACGCGGCCATGAAGCTCAAGGAGAACAAGGAGATGTGGGTGAAGGTGTTGAAGGTGTTCTACGAGAGAATACATCTTCAAGTCGACGCATCCCGCTTCGTAGAGGAACTCCTGACATTGTCTGACGTGTGGACTGCGCCGCCACCCGAGGAGGCAGAGTTGATCATGGAGGAGAAGGAGCAAGCGGCAGAGGAAGCATCCAGGTCAGTGAGCACGTTTGAGCCGTGGCGTCGCATTCACCTATCTCGTTCGTAGTCTTCTAGCAACGGTTCCTACAGGCGAGCCAATGTCCCCTAAACGCCCAAAAGGTATGTCGGGACGCTTTGTCTTGTCATGTGGCACGGACTTACTTCAACATCTTCGTGTGGCGCGGCCGCTCTTATGGGTCCAGGGGGTTTGGTAATAGAAAAACGCTCCAAGTCGAAGGCCCACAAGCCTGACGGCGAACTGTCCGGTAGCAATCTCAAGTTGTATGCCGCTCATTTGGCGCCTACCGGGTCACGGTGCTTGTTGAGTCTTCAGGACGACAAGTCAGTCCAAGGGTGTCACGTTGTCCCACGAAGAACCGACGACCGTACGGTAAGTCGTCAATACTTTCTAATGATGCCCGTGTGACCATGGCTCGGATGCTTTCATGCATGTAGTGTGCGAAAGTGGCGGCGTGGTGGGGGCTTGATGATTTCAACGTCGACTCTCCTTTCAATATCTTTTTACGTGAGTGCACATGTACCAATCGGTCTGCGTAGCCCTGATCGAAACCACACATAGTGAGAGCAGACATCCACTGCTTGTGGGACCAAGGTCATCTGCTGTTCGTGCCCGAACCTCATATTGTCGAAGATTATGTCGCGCGATCCATTGTTCCCATAGATGGGGGCTTGGTGAGTGAAAACACATGGCCGAGCATGGTGTCTTGCTAATGGTGCTATCTAGTCGCCCGGAGAAGTATCTGAAGCGTCCAATGGCCCCGTCTACAGATACTGCGTCGTTGCCCATTGCGACCTTCCCGATACGGAGGAAAACGCTGCGTTTCCGAGGGATGTCAAGACCTTAGGCTATATTGAATCCCGTGTCCCTCCCCAATTTGTTATATACAATGCGGGGATGGCACTGTCGAAGGGTGGACCAGATGGTTTCGCAGCGGCTCTAGACGCCTTCTATAAGCAGCATAAAATCCACTTTAAAGCGATCGACGTTCTGAAGGACATGGCAGCGCTCTTCCAACAATATTCAACCAACCTTCCTGCTGATAGAAGCATGGATTCCACCCACCAAGATGTCTGTTTGAGCTAGCTGTCTCAATTCGTGCGTCGGCTATATTCCATTCATACCCATACCATAACTGATGTGAATCCTAGGCGGATTCAAGAAATTCACGTGTTACCTCGGTCAATGCTGTGTGTTGGATAGATGACTATCAGGATTTATATGGCCCTATGGCCAGTTTGGACACGAGAATCATGCCTTGCTATGATTAGCCATCTATGCCCCATTATGTAGTATCCCATCTTATAGTTATCCATGCATTTTTCTACTCCATGCCTGTGAGAAATGATCTAATCATATCGCTGCTCATCAAATGCATGAGAAGCCAGTTGAATTGTATTAAAAATCCCGGGGCGTTACAGTACGCAATCAGTTTATCAATGTCGTGTGCCGATTTGAGGCTGGTTGGATTCAGATCATAGTCCACTCACAATCAGTCGTATCATATATGACGCCTGTGCACGAGTGATAGATCTAGCTGAGAAGGATTAGTATGAGGTTACATGGCTGAGAGTGCGGAGGACCGTCTATCATCCTCGCCATGTAAAGAAATGCAGCTGAGTTAAGGCTCCAACCATTTAGTTTATGTTTACAGATTTATGGTAAATAAATGGTAAACAGTAAACAGGATGGTATAAACAGTTTGCAAACTGTTTACATACTGTATACATAGCAATCAAGGTGCTGTACTAAATTAAGACCTTTTTTGTTTACTGTTTGAGCACATGACTTGTATGTTGGCCCTGGCTCTATCAAAGTTCAAATAACAGTGCAACAATAATATGAAGAAATAACACAGCTGTTTTACAGCCATATTAGCACCAGTAATTCCCAAAAGTCTCTTATAATATAAATGACAGGGAATTAATTAGCTTACTAAATATAAGGACTAATTTGATAGTCCATCAAGAAACTTTCCCTTTTACCTGTTATACCAATACTGGCTTATTGACTTGCCATAAAATAAGTAAGGTGTCTTACTACTGCATTAAGAATTGATTTTGTGTGTAAAAGAATAACTTATAATTTAGCAGTTTCACCTGATCAGTATTTTTGTGCAAAATATTGAAGGAAGATGGAATGAGGATCTGCATGAATTCATTATGTAATCAATCCTGTCATTGTTTCAGTCATCATTTAATATTTGAATTGATTGGGGCAATAGGTACTGTTTACTTTTCATCCAATCTACCTTCAGCCTTTAACATAAAAGATCAATTTTGGCATGTTGTGGTGAATATATACCAAACAAGGTATCCCTAACCATTTACTGTTTACATACAATTTATTTACTGTCTACACCCTAAGTGTAAATAAACATATATAGTAAATAGTTGTAAACATGTAAACAGTTTATGTAAACAAAATGGTTGGAGCCTTAAGCTGAGTACGGTTTCTAACCACAAGAACCTCTGTATATATTCCGAGAGCCATGTTACAGGAAGCCACACACTTGATAACAGGATGATGGGTGAGGTGACACGGTTACTCTATATTATGAAACTTGGTGGTGTCAGCCACCAGTAATCTCCAGATATCATTGAAAAGCATGTGCTACATCCGGTGATTGTATCTGCCTTTGTAACATTTCATAGATAAACAGTCACACACTTAAGGGATGGCGTGTGGATGACCACTATTACAGGAAATTGTATCAAGCTTCAGGCGCGACAGGAGCCCAACCTGGGCTAGGTGTTTGGCCGGACAACCATCCAAACTGCAGAAATCAAAATAGAAAGATACTGATGCTCACAATCTGGAGGCTTGACAGACCTGCATGCAATGACTGATTGCAGACAGCGCGATTTTCGCTTCATGCGAGAATCACGCTGTCTAGTAATGGGGAGGGCGGGGAGGGCTTCAGAACATAAATATATTTACAAAGTGTCGAGGCGAGCAGAATTTGGTCACTACATGGCTCATGAGCATTTGGGAAAGGGTGCATCAGTTGTCGGAGGTCGTTAACAATGACTCATGGAGAGACTACAAAAAGGCCGGTGTTTAGAGCTCTGAGCAAGATGTGATTGATGATCGGCCAATGAGAATCATCACAGTCATAGCTTTGAGCGATGGCCCCCACTGACTTCCGAGGGGTGACGAGTGTCGCGACTTGAGGTCAAGCGATAGGGGAAGAACAAACCTAGAGGCTGGGGGCGTTCGACTGATTCTCACCAAAGCGATGGTGAGCAACACTCAAACCTAAGGCTAGGGACAAGTAAGTTAGCATAGGAAAGTAAGTATGTACAGGGGCTTACTGACTTAGGGACAAGAGGTCGAAACTGAGGTCCCTAGGGCAGCAGAGGCCGGTTTATATACATGGGGGATTTAGGGCAGGCTGTGCATGTGTCACGAGTTGGTACGGCGTCTAGCCGTTTTTTAATTTTTTCCCTTTCGCGGGCTCGAACCCGCGACCTCTGTACTACATGCCTGATATGGACGCATCACTATCTACTGTACGATTAGATTAGATGGGGCGGCAGTGCGCGGCACAGCTCAGGCTCCGCTGACACAGCCGCTGTGACTCACCGGCCCCCGGGGCTGCGTCAGCATGCTGTGCACGGACCAGCTGCGCACGGACCAATGCACACAGCCTCCCCTAAACTTCCCCTGTATATAAACCTGCCTCTGCTGCCCTAGGGACCT